GTAATTAGAGGCCTGATAGATCGCATCTGTCGATTGTTGACTCGGCAACACGTGTCGGCGGATACAATTAATGCAATACACGATCATAGGAAGACGCGTACGTGTTAGCGTAATGATGAATAATCGCTTACAGCGCTTGCGTTCCTAATTATTATTGTACCTAGTTTCTTTCTATGTAACAATTATGTTACTCGTTACGATCAGCAGGTAATACATCATCGCGCACACGTCACGGTATTCCACCTTATATCCACTTCGATCCGAGATAACATCTCCGCCAATTTATCATCGGCACAGATCGATACTCGCGCACGCAGTCTCAGTGGAACCGAATTTGCGAAAGGTTAAATCATGCATACTTTCTTCTTCTAATCAAATCGCGCGAGAAATATGATCTAAATTTATTACAAAAGACCATCATTCGCAATATTTTTGCGGAAATCTCGCTGGTTCGAATTTCCCGAAACTTTAAATTTCTGAAAATAACTTGATCCTAACTAGACGATTAATAAAGAGATATAATCCTGATTTATTATCAAAGCAAATGAGCTAACTCTCACGTTGCAATGACACGCGTGAACTAAATCGCGTTGGAAACTAAATCCACTTGGAACTTGCCAACAATAATTTATCCTGCTAATTTGTTATTCAAACAAAGTAAACGCTTGCTCGTGACGCGACACCGGCTGATCCGAATTTGCGAGAAAACGCGACCCTCGCACACGCGTAAAGTCTAGAAAATCTCCAAGATAAATCCTAAGTACTCTTGCTGGCAAGGGAGAAGGAGAAGGAGGGATAATCCAAGCCCGGTTTACTCGTACTCTCTCCGCTTCGTTCACAGGAGAAGCAACCATGAATTACGCGCTTTCTTGATATCTTGGTTTGAACCACGGTCTGCGAGGAGGAGGCCGGAGCAACCGGTGAACCGTCTGTCGGTCCCTCTGAAGGGCCGCGCGAGCGGCCCTTCGGGGTACTTTGTACAGCCGAGGCTCATCGGCTACAGTGGACCTCCCACGGGCCGACCGGGCTCTTCACCATCGAGGATCTGCCCGCTCTCCCCCTCTGCCCTCCTCCTAGGCTCCTTCGTCGTCGTCGTCTTCTTGCCCATCTTCGTCCGTCTTTTTCCAGCCTATCTCGCGTCGGTCTCTCGATTCGTCGAACCGCTCGGCTTCGTGCCACCCGATCGACGACGATTCCACGCTTTCGCTGGCGGAGAATCGAGTGAATCGGACGAGTCGGGAGAGAAAGAGATCCGCCGGATGTTGCGAAAACTTTAGCGTGACCCTCGCGGAGACAAGCCGGACAGTTAAAAGTGCATTCGAGAGATGTTAATGGGAAATAAAATAAAGAAGAATATATAATACGAAGAGTAGGATGAAAGGAAAGAAATAAAATATTTCTCTTATACCGTCTTTAAAATACGATGATTATGAGTCACCTGAACCTTACGAGTATTCTTTCATCTATTAATTCTATGATCAATCTGTCGTCGCTTTCTCCCTTCGTTATTTAATTTTTTTATAATAAATATCTCGCAATCACTTAAATAACAAATTTGTTAAATTTTGCTTGAAATTGCAAACTGCAATCCGTAAAATAATTTCCGGTTGCTCGGCGAGTTCGGGAAATCGTAAACAGCTATCCTTTACAATCCAGAAATGGCACACGCTTTTCAGGCGCTTCCTTGCCACAGAAAACAGAGTAATTTCACGATTATTTTCTACCGACCGGGTTTTATCTTACATTCTCGAAGTGAAGTGCATTGAAGCGGTTCTATCATTACTTGGCCGAGACCCCATACATCGCTGCCAAGTTACTATTGTAATTAGCTCATGCCGGCCACGGTTACGGTGGATCGTGCTGATTTGTGAGAAACGATTGCGACTAGCTCGAAGCCTATTATTGCGAGATCGGGACGGGCCCGCGCGCGCGCGCCAGTGCTTACTCAGGTGTGCGACTATTACGAACACACGGCTATGCCTACACCACCGGGATGTAGCCTTACCCGCTCATATTTCTATTCTCATGACCGAGCAACCTGTGCAGCCGGCCTTGACTCGTAACTCGCTCTCTTCTGGCGTCTGTAAAAAATCTCGCGGAGTCCGGCCCTCTTTTACTAACAGCCGTGACGCGCTTAATGCCGCGCTCGCCGCGCATTTATCGAGACTGAGAGTTCAGCTCTGCAATGCGCTCTGAAATGCATCGAGTGCATTCTCCAAGCAAATAATTTCAAATCGCTACTCTTTACGACCGAAAACAACATTCTTTCATGTTTTATCTTACTCATTGATATTTGCCCATTTCAATCGTAAAGTGAAATGTGAAATCAACGAGAAAATAAAATCTCAATTAAACCAAGAGAACGGCGAATAGATAAGTAGATAAGTATCTGTTATGTAAATTGCTAATAATGAGTGGTGTCACGCGATCAAACCTGTATTGGAGAAAATAAGAATTGCCGCGCAATCGAAAACTTATTAATTTTCTGTTTGTTAAGTATCTAAAAAATAAAATTCCTAATTTTACCGTCAAATTTTCACATCTCGAAACGTGATTTTATGTACAGAGTTTCTTCTAAAATACGCATTAAATAAATAAAACGTCAAAAATAACGCACGAAAATAATAAAATTTTGAAGGAATCTTGAATGCTGGGATAGCATCGATTCCAGTCTCGATTATTCTCGCGCGCGATGAGGTTGCAGAACATCACGGGGGAAGGTCGATCCCCCGCTTGTCCGCTCAGAAGGTTGTACCCGCTGTGTAGTTATGTGCATCGGCTTCCGAGGTTACAGACGGTTAGTAAGAAATACTCCACGGACGATTGTATCGAATCGGACTGCAGCTCGTCGGAACACTGGCGAGTCTTTCTCGCTTACGGGCCGCACGTACACGCATCATTCTGTTTATACACTGTGGCATAAATGCCCGGAGCAGTCGTGCAATATTACTACCTTGCTTCGTAATGAACCGTTAGCATAACTCTTAATGCCGAAGTATTCCAGAAGCCATTTAGAGCGTATACGCCAAGCAATTGATAACAGTGAGTAACGTTCGCTTCGAAATTTTTACGAACATGCATCATTCTACTTGCCAATTATCATAATTTTAAATTGAAAAGTTTCAATTTGCGAATTTATTAATTCCAGTGAACTCAATTAAAGCTTCTCGACTTAATGATTTTAATAAATTGAAAAGAATTGTCACTTTTTCGAATAAAAAAGATTAAAATTAAATTAAAATGCTAAAATTATAATTTGTAATTTTATTAATTTTTGATTAGTTTTTTACCATTAGTGACAGAGAGAAATTTACAAAGCAAACTCTTCTATGGAATCGGAGTGTAAATTGAGCGTGCGAATCGAGCGTAAACGTTATCGCAGCGAACTTGCAGGAGAATCGGGATGGAATTCTGAAGGGGAAAGTACAGACCCTATCGCGTGTCGGACCAATGGTGATTAACCCTTCGCGGTATTGTACAAAACAAAACCCGAACAACGGGGGAAAACACAAGAAGCACGCGATAATGGACGTATTTCATAGCGCTGCGAGAAAAATGTGCGTTTATTGTCCAACCACGTACGTTAGCGGCCAAAAAAATCATCTGAAAAAGGCAGCAATTAAAGATTCCCTTAAATAACGAAACTAATTGTCGGTGAACATAAAGCTATGGGATTCCATTGTTCTACGATCGACAATTACACGGTCATCAGCGATAAAAACACAAGTCAGGCGTTATGATTCATCCAACTCAATTCACATGTTCACGCGCGCATGTGTGCACTGAGATATGGCGAATCTGCATGACTTTTGCATCACTTTATATAAGCACTTTCGAACAAATGTCGATATATTTCAAACGTCTAACATTGCACGATATATAAAATATTGTAGGCAAAAATTCGAATTAGAGAATTAATTATTAATTAGGAAATAAGAACACATATATATCGTTAACTAATAACAAAAATTGCTAGACCATCTTTGTCCTAATTTGAAAAATTTTAAGTTTATTGATTTGTTTCTATTTGTTAATATTATGATATTTATTCTAGTTTGTTTATTATTCTTCGAGTTATTGTTACTTTGGAGTGTGTATAAGGTCACTGTCCCTAAATATGCAATTGAAAACGTTCGGAAGGGCCTCATTGTCAAAAATTAAGGCCTCGGTTCCGTCACGGAAGAAACCGTTTCTGAAAACAACCGGAAACGTCGAATCAAGCGTGCCTCCCGAGCGCGGGTGGCATGAGTTAGGTTTTTTACTGATTTCATGCGTACGCCTGCATGCGCCGCGGTGCAAGAAACCGTGAATGGAACACAGTTTACAGTTAAGATATGTCAGCAGCGTGATATCGTCTGCCACACATGACCGACAAAAAGTATATTATAGAACTAAAATGCCACATTATGGCCACGAGAAAAAAAAGAGGCGGTCGTAACCGCCTCTTATATTTGATATGACGCGCGGGACATTCTTTTCTTTCTTACTGATGTTTTTCTTATACTATACATAATAAATTTTTTCTTTATTTTTTTATAAAATTGTGTTTGCATATATTTTATAGACAAACATAATCATTAGTTATTTTTATACGAAGAAACGCGGCAATAAATTCTTTTAGATTTACGCTCCATTAAAACATAAAAATTGATAAAATATAAAAGAGACTTGTTTTAAGTTTATATATTCGCAATAAAAATTCCAACACACATGCGTGTGTTTATATGGCATTTGAATTTTATTTGCGAACATAACATTAAGAAAATAAATCTCCAACTATAATTTTACGATTTTTGATTTTACATCATAAAATCGTTCGAGAAAAGTGAACTTGTTAAATCAACGTTAACAGATAAAATAACAAAAAAAAAAGATTGGTCTGTTATATATCGAGATAAGCGGCGGAAATTATTTACATAAAAACGCGTCTACACGTAAAGCCGGCTGCAGTCTGTTAGGCGACAGGGCGATCGTTAAAGCTGGTATTCCTCATGTTACAGCGGAATCGGATATCTGCAGTTTCGCGACGAGGACGGAGCATTTTCACATCACGAATAAACCATCGACGGGACTGTTCACGTCGAATACGAGACCGAAGCCTCTAAAGGAACTGTACGAACTAGCTGCTATAGTCGCCGTTCGAAGTTTGGACTCTTTGAGAAGGGATGGCAGCTCGATGGATATGTTCCTCTGCACGCCGATCCTCGGTAAAAGGAGGCGGGACCAGAGCCTCGAGATCGAGTCCAGAGTCGTAAGTACATTTCTCTTCCTCTCTAAGAACTCATTCCATCACTTTGCCCACGGTCCAAATATCAATAAATAAACATCAAATATTCTCTTTCATTCAAATCTTATCAATGCTATGTTGTATGCGCGTATTCAGTGTGTTGAATTTAGCAGTTAATTTTATCATCTTGAAAACGTTCTAAAAATAAAAAAAAGTAGAATCTCTCAATACTATAAATGTCGTTTTCAAGATTGCAAGATTATATAAATTTATTGATTCGATCATATTTAACGTGTAGATCAGAGCGGATTTATAAATATTTGAATCTGCAGAATTCAACAGAGAAATTTCTAGATTTTTTAAATGGAATCTAAACTCTCTAGATTAGGTAAGAGTTAACATTTTACAGGAATTCGTAATAACTGCACTTTATTTATCGTTTCTTGCTACTAGCGCGTGTAATAAAAATGTTCGGTTTTTTGCCGAATGAGAAAGTTAGAAGCAATGCATTTTTAAATAACAGTATTTTCTTAATGAGTTATGTAACGACATTAGAAGCGGTTCATCGCCGCGGTTAGATTGCTCTTGTTGACTCCATGGAGCACGGTAGAAATCGGATATTGAGTTCAGGCACTTGGTTGGTATCGAGTGACTGAACGCAAAAAGATCACATGACTTAATAATTCTTGACGTGCGACATTAACTCTCAAATGCCAGGCAAGAGTCAAATCTGACCCGTTTGCCTACTTAATTCGATGTAATTAACTTTCACCGTGTAATTGAAGAGTTCATTCGGTCGACTGTCAAACCTCGTTTTTTTGAAACAGTTTCGGTAATTTTGTCGAGCAACCTGATACCAAATGTGTCGCGGTTAATTTGCATTTTTCTTTGTGCTTGAACCGACATTAAACCGGTTTCATGCCAAAGGAAATTATCAATCCGATGTAATTATAATTTCGCGATAGTAATACTTGATAAGCAAAAGGATACAAGTCCAAGAGATTGTCTTTTGAAAGATTCAAAAATCTGAAGATAATTTTCAAAATAAACCAATAATTTTCTTAAACTAATTAATAAATTGTTAATTTAAGATAACAGTGACTTTTTACCGGCTTAGTAAACACTTCAAATGATCGTATTAAGGGTTCTGCTTCCACTTTGTAAACTCGTTTCTCCGATTAGAACGATAAATATTAAAATCCCTATTATTGGACTTGTATCCTTCTGTTCTTCGTGTGCGTAAAGCTATCACAATGGCCCGGCCGTTTTCACGGACCGGTCGCGAACAGCGGCGAGTGCATCGTGTGGAAAAGTTGGCAGACGGCTGGAACCCGATCTGTTCCGTATTCCGCGCGTAAAACCCGCTCGGTCGGCGAGGTGACATCCCGACAATGGTTAACACCCACGCGGATGCCGCAGCGCGTGAAACACACTCGCACTTCTTCCTCCGCCACGGCGTCGAGTTTCCCGCGGGGGTGAACGGGTGGAGAGATCCCCTTGTTGCGGGACTCCCGGATCCCGTGGAAGAAAGAAAACGAGTCATTTGTTACGTGCACCGGGTCGCATAACAACACTCAGCAAACGCGCACAAAATGGTACAACTCTTTCACACGGTGCTATAAGAAACATGCGTGCACCGTTTTTCTTTAAGTATGTATTTGTCACGACTATGTATTTAACTACTTGAGGAGGCTCTCAATTTTACGACAGCACATTGATCTACAGCATCTCACGTAAAACAAATCTCAATAAAGAAGGAAGTGAAAAACATTCTTTCCTTTCGATCGTGTCATAATTATGCAGATATGTTTTGTTAAGTATACTTCATAGATTTTAGTAAGTTTAATAAACGCATAAATATGTATTCTATCGGTATCTCAGAAAGATAAGTGACGATAAATGTAGATAATTATGCAAAATGGCGTAACAGACCGTGTGGAAAGAGGTATGTTATAGGGCGGTGACTTTATTGCGTGTGTGTGATTACGCTGTTGCAGCCGGCCGCTATCGAGGATCTACGAAGATGGACGTCCGCCGAGGCGCTCGGCGACGTCACCGTACCGCCGGACTGCGCGTCCAGAATCCTGGGCGACACGGCCAGCGACGATGCCGTCGATCACAAGCTACCCAGCCCGGAGGAACAGGTTCAGGCTATCGCACTCAAGTAAGCGGTTTATCTCAATACGTCGTTTGATCGTGGATAGGGAATCGTAGAAACCGGAATGAAGACGGAATAGAAAACTTTCACATCATTGAAAATACGATTGTGTGATGTTTGATAATTTTAAATAAAAATGTCCGAAACATTTTTCTTTAAAATTGTAAGAAAAATTAACTTAATATTAGAGACATTACACAAAGAAATTGACAAAAGTTAAAAAATTGACAGAACGATTTGAATAAAATTGGCTATTTCTAAAATAATCAATGAAAAATGTTTATGATTATATATATATGCATGTGAGACAGACTTTTGGCTCAAGTCGAGTCTGTAACAAAACCGTCTGTATAAGCCAAAAGTCTGTCTCACGGCTTCCTGCTACGTGACATGACATGTTCATTCGCCGACCTATTCAATTTTGTATCAATGATAGACCAACAAGCATGCTATTGTAACCCCGAAATTGTACGTTTTCATCGCAGATTCCCAGCGGAAATTGTAGCAGTGGATGTCAGCGGACGAGGTTTCGAAAGAATGTCGATGAGAAGGAAGTCCTTGCTGTCAGGACCAGAGACTCAGGAAACGGCGGTGAAGAGAAGGTCGCGACCACGCAGACCCAGAGGAAAGAGACGAAACACGATTGCCGGTACCGATCAGAAGGAGATTCGACAAGCTATTGGAGGGTCAGTATTATCGTAGTTTGTGTCCTTAAGTTGTCTCAGATTCCGAGGAAATATTTCGCATATTTATCTTTCAAAATATTATGAATAAAACTCTGTTTTATAATTTATAATTAAAGTTCTAAATTTTTATAATTTATAATTTAATTCTTAAATCTTAAAAATAACTTCGCCGATTGTTTACCTTAACATTTCACAGAAAAATAATTGTTTCCGGATAATTTAAAGTCTTCGACACAAAACGGTAAAAATAATTTTTTTAAAACCATTATAAAAAATACCGAGAAATGCTGTTATTGAAAGGATTAATGGACCATTCACTAAGAAAATGTTCATCCTTTCCAACTTTTACGATATAATAAATATCGAGCAAGAAGTATGCGTTTCTCTCAGATCCATCTTATCATAACAGTTCTGTTACTGCAAGGACGTAGTTCCGGTTATCTGTGCTTCGAAAAGAGTCGACGATTTGTCACGCTCGATAAAGTGCGGTCATATTTTCGCAGTCATCCAAGCACGAAGAATCTTTCCCTTACTCCACCTTTGTACTCTATCCTTGCGCTGCTATCGCCGAGATAATACTTGCCGATCACTCGGTATCATTGTCGCGCGATATCGCGCCGTCCCGATCACGTGGGACCTCCCACGAGCCCTAGCAATTCAATTGAAATATACGCGAATAATAAATCTGTAATAAAATCGTACGTCGCGGTTCGACCGATTAATCATAGCACGCACGCGTATAATTCTCTCGCTCCTTAAAACACCACGCAAATCGCACTCGCCACAGCGCCCTACATCATGTTCACGTCGCTCACATTATTTATCGCCGCAGGGAGACGACTGGCGACGAGCCCGAGGAGACGATGCCAAGCGCCACGCCGAGAGCGCATCGCTCAGCCAGCACCGACATTCTAGGTTCTACGAAGAAGGATTCTCCCATCGAAAAGAAATCGCACTTCAACACGCTCAAGGCGTGGGGCATGTCCCGACTGAAACTGATCAGTCCAAAGTCGAGTCAACAGCAACAGGAATCAACGGTCGTCGTGGAGAGGTGCGAGCAAGCTCAAAGTCAAACAAAATCGCCGGAGGAGATCAACATTTACGAGACGGTGACTACGCGGCGCAGAAGGGACAAGTCGCACGAGAGGAAGCCCAGCTCGTCGAGCTCGAGCGGCAAAAGCACGGCCAGCATACCGGTGTCGGTACCGAGCACGGACAACAGACAGCCGAGCGTGAAATTACGCGAGAGCGCCGCCCAGAGGCGAGAGCGACGGAAGGGCAGCAACCGCGACGACGCGCCGCACTCCAGCTCCGGGAACTGGAGCGCCTCGTCCGAAAGCGGAAGGGCCAGCATCGGCAGCGAGACTACTACCACCACACATCAGCCCAGGTGAGAAAAAGCCTTAAATGGAACTAAACGAAAGAGGTTGTGATTCCTGTAATTGTCTTAACCTCAACGGAAATCACGTTATTTTTTTTTATTTCATACCATATTGAAAAATACTACTTGCTCGCAGTCTTTGGATACTTTTTCAACATAGTTATTGACGCGAATATATTTTAGAATTATAGCAAACTTTTAATATTTATTTAAATATTTAAATTTTAATGACGCGGCAGGATAATCTATATATAATTTAGTAAAAACTTTTTTAATTACTTAAACTTGCACGAGTATCAAACTTGTATTAAAATTCTTATTCATCAATCTATTTATAAAACTTACACTTTTTCAATCTTAAATATAATATTTCAGATCCACGACAACAGCTTCGATTGGCACATCATCCACTTCCTTGAGTCACATGAGGCGACTCAAAGGAAGAGATACTTCAGCCTCGTCTTCGGTAACTTCCGAAGGTACCCTAACGCCGGATATCATACAAGACATCACGGTGGTGCCGTTCTCCGACGACGGCGAAACGTCGTCGGTGTATTCCTGTGACACGGAGGGATATTACACTTCGTTCCACATGGATTCGGGTTTGAAAACGCTTAGGGAAGAGGAACCCATGCCACAGAGTCCTTTGATCAAATCGAACGACGTCGGTTCGGATCCTACCTCGCCTATCGTCGAAAACGAGTATGAACTGTTCGGAAGAGGATCGACTTCTACGACGACTAGTTCAGCCGGGACAGTTTGCACCGCGCTTATGGCACCACCGCCTCCGGAACGCAAGTCCAGCCTCACGGTTGTTGCTATGGTAACAAGCTATTTTAGCTACTTTAAAACGAGTAAATTCTTTTTTAAACAACGTCTAATTAAATTAGCATTAATCTTCCTATTGAAATGTTGTTGCAGACAACGGTCAAAAAATACATCCCATGAAATTATTAAATATTTCTATGATAAACTGCACAATTATTTGCCAATAAAAAATAATCACGTATGTGTTCATTATCAATCCCGTCGCCTATTTTCAACGTATTTAATTTTATCAACAGGTTCATGGTCAAAATCAAAACGGTGGCGAATCGCCCGACAGCGGCCACAATACATCGTCGTCTCCCGTCGAATCTGCATCAAGCCCAGCCTGCACTGGTCGATCGTGTTCCGAGTTTGAATATTCAGAGTCCAGCGATCTGGAAGGCTGCGAACGGATCGAGAGAATTCGTTCGAAAACGGCGATGACGACCAGTCGGATTCCGTCGATGTGCGTAATCACGCCACCCGTGTCCGACGACGAGCACGCGAGAGAAACGGATCAAAAGGAAAAGAAAGCAGGAAAGGAGCAAACGAGAAGGGCAGACCTGCAGAGCGGTGGATCGGTGCTGATGTCCGCCACCGTCGGCACTTCCAAGATGGAGGTGATCAACGGCCAGGACAAGAACCTATACGCCACCGTGCAGGTGCTGCCGGCAGCCGCCAATAACGATAGACCGGTCGCGACGACTCAGCCATCGTCGTTGATAAAGATCAGTCCTCTGAGTGGTGTGCTGGGCAAGCTTCGCGGCGTACTTCCGGGTAAGAAGCACGCCACGAAGAGCAGCGCTATGCAAGAGCTGTCGAATGCAGACTCCGGCGACTATGTGACCATAGCCGACGTGAGGAACAACAACGACAAACGTCCCGCTGGCCTACCGTCGTCGTCATCGTCAACAACGTCGTCGTCGTCGTCATCGGGCATGACCGCCGTACGACCTACCGCTACCTATGCCAATTCGGACATTTTCAAGAAAGACGCGGAGTACGTGAGTCTGAGCGAGTTACCGAAGAAACCGGACTCGTCGTTGGAGAGAAAAAGACAGGGCGCTCGAGTTACTTTGGATTCCGAAGGCAAAGTCGTCTACTCGTCTGACAGTCTGAAGAGGAGAAAGGGTGCGCACACGACGTTTAATCCAGGTACATTATCTTCATTATGCACATTCGAGCGATTTATCGCAATTAAAAATCTTTCTGTCAAAAATTTCAATTTAGCTTAAACTTGTGAATTAAATCAAAGAAAAGATTTAATAATATTTCTTTAGAAAAAAGTACCAATAAAGTCAATTTACAAATAATATTTCTCGAGTTTCTCTATAAATTTCAACCGTTTAAAAAATACTAATAAAGTTAATTAATTGACAAAGTTAATGTTCGAATTCTGATAATTAATTAATTAACTTTGTTGTTTCTTCTCTGTAAACTCTGCAAACTTATTGCAAACTTATTGTAATTAATTAACGAATCAATAAAATAATTATTAATCAATTGCTAAAGTATATAGAACTCGTGTTTTTCACGCAACACATCAATTTATCGCAATTAAAAATTCTCCTGTCATGGAAAATTTCAATTTAGCTTAAGCTGGCGAGTTTTATGAAAGAGGATTAATAATATTTCTCGATGCTCGTTATAAATTTCAACAGTACAAAAAACATTGATAAAACTAATTAATAAACGAAAAATATTTCTCGTTTTCTCATAAATTACGATCGCTTAAAACAAACACCGATAAAATTAATTAATTAACGGGATCAATTTTCGCTATTCTGATTGAATAAAATTAATAAAACAACTATTAACCAATTACTCTAATAACGCATTAAACTCTTGTTTTTCATGCGAAACGTCAATTTCTAGGTCCCTTCGTGAGGGAAGGAGTGTCACCCAGTCCGTCGCCGTTGCTGCACCGCGCGATGCCGAATGTCCGCGCCGTCACGAAAAGCGGCGACGTCGTGGACGGCTCGAAAGCTCAGGCGTTCACGCCGCCGACGTCGCCCCAGATGGGCAAGCTGATCATTCGGGCGGCGCGGAGTCCGGATCGCGCGACCAGCCCGGATTACGTGCGCAGACCGGCGACTGTGGTCGGTCCTACAAGCCCGACCAGTCCCCACAGACAGGTTCGCGGAGCTTATGTCAACATGCAGGGCGACGAAGGTAAGACGTCCAGCGTGAACGAGCAACGCGATTGCACTGGTCGCACCGGTAGATTAGAGGCACCACGCACCACTTTTGCGCCTTCCACGATCGCTCCGTCGCGCTCTAAGAATACTAGGCAGTCCTCCTGCAATCCTCCAGCTCTGGCGCCGAGCAACAAACTATCCGGGACGGATAAATCCATAAATAAAACCGCCTGCCGTGGCGGCTCGAAGGTAGATAGACAAACGAAACGCAAACTCGACCGCGACGAGAACAATCCGCCGCCGCAGCTCAATGGCGACGCTCTCGAAACGAATCGCGAAATCGCTCAATCTAAGATCAACCACCCTGTCGGTTCGAATCCCGCGAATTCGCGACTAGACTTCGAGAAGTCGGGTCTCTATCCGAAGATCCTGCGGGCGACCGGCAATACGCCCAAGTTAGGTAGGAAACTATTGGTCTCGGATCTCGATACTCCGAGCTTCTGTCGAAAGAGATTCGATCTCGACAGTCAAAGTGTCACCGAGAAAAGTTCAGTGCTCGATTGCGATACTGGCGATAAGAACGCGAGTGGCGATTGCGCGGATAGCGAAAACGCAAAGTCCAAATCGACACGCGACGACAGGGTGGATCGCAAGGTGAAGCGTAGCGAAAGTTACCGCATGGCGAACAGTCCGATTATGTTTATCAAGAAGTTTTCCGCGAGCAATCAAGAAAAGTCGTCCAAGATTTGCAGAACGCCGTCCGAGGAGTTGCAGGAGGAGCTGCTGAGAGAGAGGATCAACTATCCCGAGACGGTTTCTAGTCCGGAGCCGCAGGTCGATAACAGCACGACCTTCGACATGAATCTAACGGCGTCCGTATCTGTTAAATCGGTACCGACCAGTCCTAGACCGAGGGCTTTGGACTTGGAACCCGTTCGGGTCCTCAAATACTCTAGTAACGATACAGAAATCTGGTAAAAAAATATCGCGATAGACATAATATAACTCAACGCTACTTTTGCAATACCGATATAAAACTGAAATAATAATATTATGAATCCAACGATTCCTACTGTTATATTAAAAACGCTCAGTTTTAAAGTGGAGATTTTCAATGTAGAGGTGGTTGTAAATATTGAAGTATTCTGATAACAACATAGAAATCTGACAGAAAATGTCGTGATAGCGTGCAGAGCAGCAACGTTAATTTTGCAACACTGATACGAAGCGGGAGTGATAATGCGTGCGCTCACTTGCTGCGAGCTTTAATAAAAGTTGAGTCGTGCTTAAGAAAACAAATGAACGATGGGGGTTCAGTTAAGAATGATCATTATACTCGTGGAGATAACATGAGACGTTATGCGATAACGTCACATTTCATGCGACATTAAGTACATTTGTACTAGAATACTTTTCTAAATCCTTTTTGATATTGTTTTCTCGAAGTAGTTGCAAGGAGAAAACTTTGAAAAAGGATAAGCATTTTAAACGATATACAACTCATTATAACTTAGAAAATATAATATCGCAAGTTTCCGATACATAGCTTTTATATCTCGAAAATTAGCATTTTTGTTATCAAAGGTCTGCGTCAACGCGATAACTCCTTGAAAAATGATTTCGATGAGGCGAGACGTTGATACCCCGTTGTTAAATAAGAGCTGTAAGATCATCGCGTAAAATAGATCGGAAGATGAGCTGCCAAGAATCATCAAGGTTTAATCAGATACAATTGGAGCGAGAAGTAAGCAATCGCGGGGGAGATATCAGTCGATTGCAATTCGTTATGCAAAAGACAGGAACGTCAGCTCGTCATGGCGCCGTAAATCCGACGGCGGTAAGAACTAATAAACCAATCATTTAACAACAGTCGCGATAGCGAGATTGGCCAATTTTTTCTCGGCGCGAACAAAAATATCGATAAGAAAGACGTACGTAACACCAGTCACGTTTTCCTCTATCTGACGCTCGCGCCTGATCTTTCCAGCTGCGGCGAGTCGGCCGACGATCCCCGGCGGTGTGTTTAATATTGTGACGAGATAAAACGCCAAGTTCTATCATCAAATGATAGTCTTTGCGCGTGGAATATTTTAGAATTGAATAATTAGAGCGATAAGCCTGCCGGATGCACTCGGCAAGGTTGATCAATACGATTGATGAATAGCGCGATTTTTATAATTTTTTCCTCAACGAATCGTTCTCCTGCAACTTCTTTTTTTCTCGATTAATATGTGTAAATAATATATAAAATTATTAAATAGAAATTGATAAAATTTTCTTCTTCAAACGTATCGCGCAAAACACGTTTTATTTAAAAGCGCAATAGCATTGTTCGAAATCAGACTGTCATGAATTATAGAGTTAATTGTTTTGGACTGAAATCACTTGACTACACTTCAAGTTCATATTGCACTTATTTCATATAGATTTAAATGAGAAAACATTAAATCACGAGATGTCTGAAACTTTCTTCAAGGGGAGAAAACAAAAAATTATCATAATAGGGTGAGTAACAAATCTTCCGCTTTAGTGAGCCGCTGGAAAACTCCCACGAAGCTCCTCGTAAAGACTCACTTTGTTAGCCCTTATCAGCGTTATTAGCTGGCTCAATAAGCAATGCGAATTGCATCAGACGCGATATTTATCCCGACATGATAATGGTCGATAAACAAAAATCCCCACCGCGAGGATTGAAATGCTTTCGTGCGCATCCCGGCGCTTTCAGTGCGTTCCGATCCGGGCATCCTCACAATCGAATTGCGAAATCATCCGTCTTTCTCGTCCGCGAAATTTCGTCGCTTATTCAGATCTCGAAGCCACGAACCAAGTCTCGCGCGTCGATCAACAAAATGTTGCGTCGCGGAAAACTAATTTATATTATTGCAAATACGCCGAGTCACGTCTCCATAAATTACCATCGCATCTAATCGCGATCCTTCTAAAACCGCCAACTTTATCTCGCGATGATCATTCTTAATGCTCGCCTATGAATCCGCGGGATGGTGAAAATCTCTTTCGGGAGATCAAGAGGTCGTGAGCTTTACGTGTCAGCCGCGATCGGATGACTCGCCACAGAACGAAATCCAGTTTTTGTCGCGACGCGGTGATAGGCGTTATCGGTGCAAAGACGGGGAGGAAATCTTGTCGCTAGACAGACAGTCGCCATCGACTGTTGATAGACGGAGCAGTACGGTCGTGAGTTGAACGCGATTGCCGGCTCGATCAGTGCTCGGATCGCCTCGACATCACTTAGACATGTTGGCGAGACATCTTCTCTTCATTGCGACCAGGCGGCCGCGTAAGTTGAATATTATTTGAGCGAAATTTTATTTGAGCGTAATAAAGAATACATCAGAATAAATGAAAAATTTTAGGGAAAAGTAGAACTCAAAGCTACTTTTCGTGTTTGTTGATTGTAACGTAGGGTTAGCTAGAAGTCGTGGTATTATTAAGATATACATAATAATATCATGAATAACCTTTAGCCAGCAGAACTCAACGTCAATAAACAACAAAATAATAAATTTAATTTCTTCGATAACGTCCACTGATCCAGTATATTTTATATAATTTTGCAGGCTTGCATTTTTATACTCAAAATAATAATAGAAATTTTTAAGTTTTATCTTAAATATTGTTTATAACAAATATTTTCTCATATTTGCAACTTGTCAAATATATATTTGAAATATATTTGAAATTCATCTATCAATAAATTTCAAATATATCTGAAAAAAAAATTGGTGATTTTTGAAGGTACAGTTCGAACACTGTTATTATCGATTTTTGAAAGCAACGCACGTATAGAGAAATTATAAAATATATACAATTTCTTCAAAAACAAATTTTAGATATTTTGTACTTAGTGAATGTCTTTATATTTATATTTATTATGAGAAAAAAAACAAAGAGTACACAACAAATAAAATATTGTGTGTACAGTATATATCATAAAATTGATATTATCGTATGATTGTCAAATCCAAAAAAAAAATAAAAGTTTATCAAGACAAATGTCACATTTTTATCATCTGTCACTTTGTCATTTATCAGTTCAATCATGTTTTACACATAATGTTATCATGCATATATATGGATATACTGGTGTATATGTTGTTGGTGAAACTTGATTATTTTCTTTTGCATTTTGTATCAGCAAAGTTAAAATATTTTTTATCAGCATGTATAAAACGATATTCACACGGAAAAAATTTATTTATATGGCTTACATAAGTCGACAATTTTGTTTATTATTCGCCTGAAGATTCTCAAAAAATATATTTTCCAAATTGAATTGCAAACGAATTTTATTCTTAGATATCATAAACTTGACTTATTTGATTTACAATACAGTAAAAACTACTAAAGAAAATATTTCATAATTTTTAAATAATTTAGTATTAAAATATAATAATTTAATAATTTTTTTAATTATATAAGAAATTCTCGTATCTCGACAAATAAATGTTGTTTTATTGTTCGTTATTTCTGATCTTATTTGTAAAAAAAATTAGGAAATTATTTGGTTCTCATGGCGCCAACAAGTCTAAATACTCTTTCTCATCTTTGCGCAATCAATATATCTTTAATTCCTAATCGAGCATTTCGCGAAGCACAAACAGGCAAGTAAGGCGCTAATTTGTCTGTCAAGTCCACGACTGTATCAGTGACATCACCGGGAGAGCATTAAAAGCCGGGATCGCGTGAGTGACCGCGCGCGTCCGTTATCGGTATTGCAAAACTAGCGCACGATTATAAAGAAGCGCTACTTGAGCGAGAAGAGAGAAAAGAAGTGTCGCAATTCAATGGAAACTACCGTTGATCGAAAACACGCGGAGACACGAGAATAAAAGAAGCAAAAAAAAAATTGAAAAAGTCGATCCTCTCCACCGACAGTTTACGCCTCGTCGCGACAATTCCAGATTGACACACCACAAACACAAATCTCGCGTCGCGTGAACACAGCTTATCTCGGAGAAAGACTTTTACCAGCTCATACAACGTGCGTCCACCACCTACGTAACTTACGCCACAAGTAAATAATAATATCAACAACACAAGAGTATATACGAAAAAAAAGATATATAGATGATCGAAATCTTGGATTTGTTTTAATATTCCTGGCGAGAGAGCGATATCGCGTCGGGTAAAATCTCGATTCAACAACGATGGTAATCACAGATAAGTCATCGCGCTTTCCCAAAACAATGTTGTTCGTATAAGAGGCAGGCGGACGGAGCACGTGAAAATTTTCATCGTCCAATTTGATTCCAGCGCGACGCGCAGATAACTTTAATCTCTTCGCCGATTTACAGTTATTTTTGCACGCGTGATACAATGTAGGAGCGCAAAAAACTGCGCCGCAAAAAAAAGGCATATCCGTCCAAGTTATATATACAAAGAAATCGCGCCGATACGATGATAAATAATTAATCGGCTGCGATAAATTGCGAAATCGGCTATAAGAGGTCTGTAATCGCGGTTCTCCGCTTACGTTATTTATCTTAAGGATAAACGCATCGTGTAATTATAGATATGCAAAATATTAACTCCCAATATAATAATTTATGTAATTAGCTATTTACACCGAGAGTATTAATCCATATTCCTTGTGTAATCACACGTATGGCCAGTGACAAAGACTTAAATAATTTACGTTACTTCTGGCATAGAGCGACCGCTCCCTAAGTCAGTTTATCGAAAAATATGCTGTCGCATATTTTTGTATGGGCAATTTAAATATGGCCAATTTGTCGTATTTATAATATTATTATATTTATCAGGATACGCGTGAGAGATTATACCAAATCGTGTTTCCTACCAGTAGTACCTATATTTATGTTACAACGCATCCTATACGTGTAAGAATATTTTGCTGCATTGCTAGAGACAATTACGATAATTTTGACGCGTTATATGCGCAAAGTTAATAAGTCTGTCATTATCAGTGATATGCGCAATTTCGTAGCTGTCTCTCGCCATGTGGCATAAGTGTCATAACATGAATTCATGGGGAGAACACGAGAAGATTAGTCAGAGCCTATAAAAGTGCTATCTACGTAAGATAAATGTGTAATTCGTCGCAGCTGACTCTTTACTTCGCGTTGGCGAGTGATAAGTCAAGAACGAGGGTAGAAAATATTGATTCCGATGACACACGAACAAGAATGATTTCTTTCCTAATAATAGCAATGATAATAATTAATAGCAACGAGAGTAAAACGCATTTTCAATGCGTAAGCTATTTAATCACGCGGTCACGATTTTCTCGATTTTCCCTCCGCACTTTATCCGCAATTAATCAACGAGTATATAACGCGTTGCACGAAGTTATTGAACTCCATCTATATGTTGATGACGTGAAAATTATATTATTGTATTCGAGTTACCTTGACACTTTGCCGATCGCATCGTCGATTATTGTAATCGGAAATTTAAAGTTCACAAAACTTGTTAAAGTTATTCTTCAACTTTCGACATATATTTGCTGTTGTTAAAATACGTTATATATATTATATTTTAATTTGTAAAGTGTTTTGGCTTGAACTCTGTAAAAATGAATTTAGCGTTGTACTGTAAAGCTTATTGTGTTCTGGCCGGGAAGGTATTAAGACGTATCTTTGCGTCCGATCATCGATTGATCGGATTAAATGTTCTACAAGTAAACAGTCATCACCGCCAATAATCGAGACAATGGCAATTGACGTCCCGGCATGCCTTGTGAAACTCTCGTAAATGTGCCTTAACTTGCCGTGTCGCATGTTAGCTCGAGATGTGTGCTCGCCTCTCGTTGTAAGTAGCGTCTATCATTGACTAACAAGGACTAACTGGGTACATAGAACCCTGTAGCTGCAACCGTGGGTCTCGATCAGGGTGATACCGTGACCGTAACCACCTTTTTTATTAAATAAAAATATATATATCGTAAGAATTTCACGAAAATTAATTACCAAATATTTCGTCAAAATCAAATATAACAAAATGCCACGGTAAAATCAACAGAAACGCAAGATGAGATTTGTATTTGCAAAAAAACGTCGGCAATAAATACGGGGAATATCCCGAGGCAACAAAATCGGAATTGCATAACAGGAAATATCACGTGCGCACGTGAGTTTCGCGGAGAACTGTTAACGCGCTCGGAAAGATTGCTCTCCCTTCACGAATGATATAATGTTATTCTTGTAACCGGTAATCTACACCGATAGTTACCCACGTCAACCTCTCGCCAACACTTAGTTAGCGCGATAACATCGTGCGTATGCAACTTCCCGCCGCCTCCTTACGGTAACGCGATAATAACACACCGGTTGTAAAATACGCGGCCGGTTATGTGTGTTAATTGAAATCGCGGGCGAGCGGAGTTCGAGTTGCGCTACATTCCTCACGGTGTTACCCTGGCGGCAGTGTTGATTAATCAGGCTTGCAACTAATATCGCGAGGACGTACTTACAACCTGGGCAAGAGGGGAGCATGCGCTATCAGCGTGTTACTGTATATGTGTATATGTGTTGTAGCGTTAAGTATCCAAACCGCCGTTCGTGTGCAACGTTATTATAAATATGTATATGTACATTCTCCTTGCGTGTGTACACACGGTGCATCTTGCCTGTACATAGAGAAATATATTTACTATACGCCGACGAAACGATGTCATTAACCGAACACGAGTAATGTATGTGAATAGACGTCATTCTTTTTGGAAAGCACTTGCATTTTGTCATTTTTTTTTTTCTGTTTCTTTCTCTCTCTCTCTCTCTCTCTCTCTCTCTCTTTCTCTCTTCTCTCTTTCTCTGTCATCTCATCCATGTACATCATCTGCACCTCTGAGATTGTACATATCGCACCTCCGTTAATCCTGCAATTCGAAGCCTACTTTTTTTTGTCTATGATTTTTCGTTTTATGTGTCCCCACATATGTGGCTGCTGTATAGTTTTAGAAAAAATGCACCTCACGCGCGTGTGGCACCTCTCACTAGTAATTCACCCACATATCATAGTTCCATGCTCCATGCACCTGGTGAGTACGTTTTTTTTTAACTTCGTTGGTGTTGCGCGCAAGTTTGATGTTGACTTTAACTGCGCGCGTGGACGAGAATTGTATTTGTACAATAAAATCGTTCCGTGTATATAAATCTTTCTGATTTGATACGTCTTACTTACTTAATCTTACTGATTTGATTTCGTTAAGGATAAAAATTTTAGTTGATCTATTATGAAAACACGCAACTTTTTTAAATGACTCATGCGAAAGTTGACAACAAACTTGTGCGCTATATTATGATTTGCGTTTTATCTACCGCATGTTTGTGTTTGTGACGCTTTTGCAACATGCTCGCTTTGCTTGGATCAGTAATTCATAATTTCAATAACAATCTTCATATAAATATTTCTATTACAACGTAATAAGATTTGTAATACACTTTGGCTTGCAATCAATAAGCCATCATTCAAAGCAAATGCAAAAAAAAACACGAAATATATTAAAATTATTTTTACAAATCATCGTTATTAACATATATATAATTATAATTGTCAGAACCTTTCTCTTGCGTAATTTCTAATCCTAATATTTCGAACAATTAATTATAACAGAAAGAATCACGTAAAAGTAAAATGTACCTATTATTTCTAACATAATCAGGCATGATCAAAATTTAACAAATTTCCGAAAGAATTATTTTATACACTCTTGCACTACCTAAAAGATTGCGCGCGTACAAAGTAGCATACTCAAAACTATGTTATCAATCGTCTCAAAGAAAAATAATCGTATTATCTACTCTAGAAAAGAATATTTTAATTCTTTTAATTGTATTACACTCTAACAACGTCCTCTTAAATTGTTGCAGATAATACTTTACTGACTATACCTTCGGAATCGATACCGCCGCAAGCGATCGTTCAACCGCCGCCCTACATCCCGCCACCGAAGCCCGATGATCGACAAAAGTCGCAAAAGTATCAAGAGATCCTGAAGGACACGCAGCCGCCGAATTTGCGAGCGTATCCCGAAAACGAGAAGCAAGATCAAAAGCAGGATATTTACGATCCCCGTCGAAACATTCAGCAATACAATGAAAATAACTGCAGGAGCTTCCTCAATCAGCAGCGGATGTCGAACTACGAATATCAACAGCGTGCCTGCGGCAACTATCAGACGGTGCACATGCACAATGCGCGGAACCAGCAGCTCTGTGCGCCAGTTGTCGATCACAATCAACAGCAATTCTACACCCTGCCGACGAGGAGGCCCCAACGGGAGATCGAACCACCACGCAGCGTCACCCCGGACATCACCAGGGGTCTTGGACGTGGTTCTCTCAGCAGCATGCACATGCTGGCGAAACAGGGCCAACAAAGAGTCACGGTCGCGGAGAACGAGCCGATCCGATACGGTTCCCACGTAGACGTGGGAAGAAGAAACTTGGAGCAAGCGGAAGCGAGGAGCAGATTTGTGCAGAGTCAACCGCAGCCAATCGTGGATGTCAAAAATAGGTGAGAAGAATCGGAAGAATTTTTTTGCTTCACAATTAATAGCGCTTTTAAGTCAAATATAAACTTGACAAAAATATCGAAAAATTAATCCTTTGCGATCTTATTGAAATAAACTCGGCATAAAATAATTTTCGAAATAACTGCAGCAATGCATGATTACAATTAGCAAATTATGCTTTTCTAATCTTCATAAAATTTCTCAGAGAACAAAAATTGATTGTTACATTTATTTTAGCCTAATGATATACAAATAATGAAATACTTCAAAGTTTATTGTCTTATTTTCGAAATTAATTCAATTACAAAGAATTAATAATATTAATTTTTTTTACCTAAATTGCATTCTTAAATTAAATGTAAATTTGATCAAACTACATCGGAAGATTAATTCTTTGCAGTTCTAAGTTGAAATAGATTCGATATTCTTATAACTGCATAATAATTTTCCAAGCAATTAAAAGTGGTTAATAGCAATTAGTAAACTATATTTTTTTAGTCTTCATAAAATCTCCTAAGTTGTTTTATTTATCGAAATTAATTCGGACCGCAAAGGATTAACAATGTTAGTAACAATATATTAATAATCGCATTGAGCATAATTATCTAAATTGCCTCCTCTATCTTCATTATATAAAAGACTATCTGGGAAAACGTAGATCGCTATCAAGCCTATCACGGCAACTGATACATCTAACAAAGTATAATTATTGCTATCGACCTTGCTTTAAACGTTTCATTGTCTTACATGCAGGTTCGCAACGCCAGTGAACGCTGGACTCGGCTATCGATTCTTCGCATCTTCGCCCGCCAATGATCCTCTTACGAAGTCTCCTAGCGCGGACGTTCTGAGGAATAATCCAATTTCGCCGATCGGCCACGGCGGTTACGGTAACGGCTTCAAATCGTCCACTCCCACCAACCATCACCACCACGGGCGATCGGCGCCAACTGTGGCGGAACGTCTAGCTCTAACCGCCGGCGGCAATAATCGCTTGTCGCCGACATCGGCGAGCTCCTCCGGTAGGAGCACTCCCATCCAGACCTCTTCCGGCAGGACGACGCCGACCAATCTGATCCTATCGCCGACCAAGAGCACCATGTCCAACGAGGAGCTGTTCGCCGCGATTCACAAATCGAAAAAGAGGCTCCATATCAGGCTCAACGACGACAACGAGAACCTGTCGCCTTACGGATCGATGAATTCCTTGATAAAGACACCGGCTGGTACCAGGCACAGCTGGAGTCCGGAATCTCAGAAGACTGCGGAGGTAATTGCAGAGGTAATTGCGCTAATAGCAAAAACGCGAATTCGAAGAGATTATTTTCAATTTTAATTTAAAAAATTTGTTTTATGTTAATAATTTATATATATACTTGAGATTAAATATATATTACTTATTTCAATATGCAAAAGCTAATTAGAATCTTTAAAATTTTCAAGATTTTGCAATCCGATTTACGTTTTCCACAGTGCGTTTTATTCGTCAAATGTAATGTTTATTCCATTCTAGCCTACAACTGTGCAATCGCCTACGTCACGAATGGACTTCAAACGTCTGCTTCTTCAACAAAGCGTGAAAGCGAATCCCATGCGACTGTCAGCGGCGGAGCAATTAAAATTATCGCGTCAACAGTGTCAGCAACAGCAATCATCGCCGACCACTCATCAGAGTTTGGCCAAAGTTCTGAGCCCCCGCTCGGTTTGGAGATTCCAAACTCCGAGAACCGACGTCCTTTCGTCCACCATAATCGAGGACACCGCGGCGGAAGAGAAAGCCATGAAACCCTCGCCGGAGAACACATCTCCCATCTCAAGACTGAACTCCAGGAGACAGTTAGATCTCTGCAGCGACCTACCGAATCATCTGCGTATCGCCGATCACAAAGACCGAACCGCGAAGCTCAGCAACGATAGGCTGACAGCGAACACGAAGTCCGCGAACGAACTCAATCCTGATCCTGCGATTATATCGTTGAATCAAAACAATAGGACTCAGGAATTAATCGCAGGCAACGCGCGAACCGCTTCTCCTGCGAAAACTGCAATAATCGGCCAGAATATTTCGTCCTTGCCTTCTCAAAACGATATCGCCCGCACGGTGTTACAGTATTCGAAGGACTCGCTCGAATCTAAGAATCGAGACCCTGTGAGCGCTCTCGAGTCGAGGAGGATCAGCAATCAACTGGCGAGAGCCCAGTTTCTAGCCAGCACACCCACAAGCACCAATCAATCACAGAATATTTACTTCAGCAAGAGATTTAGAGCACGATCCGAATCTCCGCAACACACTGTGACGCAAAAGATTGCACCGCGCAGCCCGAGTGCTCCTACTCTCGAAACCGCTCTATGATCCGAGGATGTGCCGATAATCAGGACAATAGCCTTGCGCAAGTACAAAAACTTAGCTCGTCATTATTGTGAGATACGATATTTATTTGCTCTTTGCAGATGAAAATATATTTTAAGAAGTAAAATTTGAGTAAATTGAATATTGTGGAATTATATATAAAGCATTTATATATATATATACGAGTTTATTCAATTAAATTGGTTAAAAATTTATTAATATATATTTGCAAAGGCTAAGCAAGATTAATTTTGCAATATTAAAAAATTCTGTTATAAGAGAATTTTGATCCAAAAGGAAACTATAATGGGATTGTGATAAAAAATTTTTATAAGAATTATTTTATTCGATACATTAATGAAGAGTTAATGCAGTAAGGATAATTGTCCTGCACATCCGGATCTGTTTGGGAAAATCGATGAGAAGTGTTTATTAATCTTAAGTGGTTTTTATACTTGAATTTTCCTAATACAGCAATTCGCATCTGCTGAGAGACAATAATTTATAATCGTGATATGGTAATAATGCAGAAATTAGTATTGCCCAGTATTGCAAGATTTTCTTGCATAACGTAGAAAAACGTTTAGCGCGAAAATGCCGTAACTATAAATCACAGAATGCCGATCGAAGGTATAAAAATGAATTTCTACAACACGTAATATCACATTACGTGGTTCAAATTACCCCACATGGTTATTAAATCTTACATAAGCAATTTAATAAAATAATAAGCAATAAAAAAAGTATCCTTGACGCCAATAATCTCAATCGCGCGTGCCTATTTGATGATTATTTTATAAAGAAACATTTATACTGTAACGATACTTCATATAAATTTAGTCTCGAATCGAAATGATGCCGTAGATCAATACATTAATATATTAATACGGTATATTTGATATTTTCTCTTTCTGTATACTAATTGTAAGCGAGCTTTCTTTTTAATGAAGAAAGCAACTTGATCTTTGTACGATCTCAACTTTCAGATGATCAGACTTTTGAATAGAAATGAGATGAGTCTTATCTCGATATATTCTATCTTACTATAATCTAATCTCGTTATATTCTTCAACGCGAGAGAAACAATTATGCTCTGTGACAATGATGCACAAGGTTTCATTCGCGAAACTCTATCCACCATACAAAGATACGCGACAAAACTTTTTTATAATTCTAATAAGAATCTTATTGTTACCTTCATTTAAATTAAAATATACAGTATTTTAACTGTTTGGGCTATATTAATTTATTTAGAGGAGTTAAGGAGATCATGTTGATGGCAACGAGCTGTTGGAAAATTGTACAAGGCGAACCATAAATCGCTCATGAGCTTGAAATACAGAAAATCGTTAAAAATTTAAGGATAATCTCTAAAATGATCACTGCCAATATATTTTTAACTATTAAATAAATATCATCCCGTCCGATCATGTGATTGATCCTATTTTCTGAAAATAATCTAAACGAACTAAACAAATAGATGTGCGATTTATAGTTCATCCTGCGAGGCTCACAATTTTGCACCGATAGTTTCATAGTTAACCGAGACTATCAGTCGACGGCGCCAAATTATCGTTGGGAATTTTATCGTTAAGGTATTAATTTATTTGTCAACTTCAACGGCAGCCTAACTCCCGCCCAACGTTTCGGCGCAATTTTGTACATAACAAGCAGTGTAATCGCAACCGGTTTTAAGTTTCGATCGCTTGCTAGTCTAGTCGGGGTAGAATTTAGTATATATAATTGCGTTTTGAAGATCTTTTGGGAGAAGAAGTGCCGTTAATCGCGTGAAATGAGTATGTAATGTATTACGATCAGCTAATTATCAAATGGTGTATAGAGAGAGATATATATATGTGCGCGAGGAAGATTGATATGTATAGCGTAACAACAAAGTTGCCTTAATTAAATTATTTTGGATTATGTCGAACGATCGTCGACAATGCATTTACCGATTATTTGCGATCGTGTAGACAAAAAAACTTTGCAAATATAACTTACTAGATCTTAAGCTCTGGAAAAGTGTTTTGTACTTTGCTCAGAATAAACAAAAATATTTCATAAACGCGTGAATTCTTTTGTCATGTATATGTATATAATTTATTTATTGTAATAATCTCCCCTCTCCATTCTCTTTTTCCTCAAGACATGACATCATTAAATATATATAAACACTTGGTCAAATATCACATTTTGAGAATAAATATTTTTAACATATAAATTTCGCAAGTTTCAGCATTAATCAAGAATATATAATGAATATATTCATTAAAACATGCACTGCACTTACCTTATTTGCATCTGCATCGCAGTAACTGCACCGGCATCGACAGCATCCAAAAAAGGGCTGCAAGAGGCTTCAAAGAAGGTTGCCTTTTCTGAAACACAATTTTATTGATATCATATTCATATTTTTTTCAAAATCAAAATTTTTCAATCAAAAAATTGTATTACCGTTTACTTGCGCACATACTGTACAGTATGTAATTCACGAAAATTTTTATCGCAAATTACTACCGAAAGGCAATGAATAAGCATTTTTTTCGTCCAGCAAGCGAGGTGCGCAATTATTAATACCATACGCGCGACTCAAAATAAAGAGTTCTATGATTAATAAATCTTTGCATTCCGACAAACTGTTGCTTGGAAAACAATTTATTACTTACAATTAGTTTATCGAGAATGTGTAATTGCAAATGGCGACTGTACATTGCGCGCAAAACAAACATGAAATGACGACACTAGTCAAATGTGAAATAAAGACGTACAGCGCGTCTCTGGTGGCATAAATAATGTACTACGATGTATGAAGAAATCAAAAAATGCAGCGGCACACTTCACGCCGCTACGAAAACCGTCGATGTGAAAATATTGCCCGTTAATATAATATCGAATATCGTTAAGCAACATAGCATATATTTTGGTATTATATGATTACCGTCAAACCTTTGTTGCGTCGGAGAATGCTCCAAACAATGCTCTCAATCCATCCTTCCGATCCATGCACCCAGTCGCACACACAATTCAGTGTGGATGAGCAAATAGCGCAGCAAGATGTTTCGATCCACCGTTTTCGAAAGAATTGCTGCTCAAGACGAAGCGACGCGCGTCATTTACGAAATATTCGAGGTTGTATCTCGTTTTCACACGATATCACGAACACTAACACGCAACGATAATCACCCGATGTTAAATGAGGCACTTTCGACGACCACTCGCGCGTAAGACAATAGGTTTGTTCTTATAGCTGAACTGGCTGCACTAGTTCAGCTATAAAGAACAGATGTTTTCGACTGATGACAAATATTTCAAAAACGCGCAAGATAAGTGGCGCGACAAGTAAGCGCACCAATCACACACGAGATAGAAATGACGAAGAAACTACGCTAGTCAAATGTAGAACAAAGTAATAGCGCGCGGTCCGTCATTTGTAATGTATATATTGCATAATAAAAATTATTACCAAAGCATATTTCTAAGTTTAATGTAGCATAATAATAAAGGACGCTTATTCCACGAATTTTTAACGTATTAATAACGCAAAATGCGATAATGGCCAGATGCGTGTTATGCATACGGCAAATTCGAAAATTGCTAGTAATTTTACACTACTTTAAAATCGTCAAACTGAAATGTTGTCTGAATACGATCGAACAGATTATAATAAATATAATTATCGAATACCTTAGCTGCGCTGAAAAAGTAAAGCAATATCATACGTTTCTCCGAAGATCATTCGAAAGAATTGTTCGTCGAGATGAAACGACACACGTCTTTTACGGAGTACTGAAAAATATATCTCATCATACAATCGTAAACACTAATATACGATAACAATCACCTGATAATACTAAATTCGACACCGCACACACGTAAAATTCGTCGTAGAATGAAAAAAACATTTTCAGAGCACGCAAACAAGTGATTGGATGAAAGGCGAACACGAGATGACTGAGCTAGTCAAGTGAGAAACAAAGCAATAAGAGTGCGTAGCGCGCCACTTTTGAAACATTGCATAATAGAAATTGAAATGCATAATGTATTTCATTGAGCAATAAATTTGAAAAATAAAGAATTCCATCAACAACCTAAATTTAAATATTCTTATAATATTTTATTCTACAAATTCTGAGACATTTTAAAAAAGTAATATCAATTCAAGACAAATAAATTAACTGTTAAAGATATATTATAGCAAACTCTCACATATTATTTTAATAGCAATATATTTGCTAATTATATATGCTCGACCATGTAAGGATTCCTACATGAAAGAATTTTCACATCATCAAGTTTTATTTTCAAGTAATCAATACAGAACAATTATCTTTATCAGATATTTTACTTTTCTTTTATATTTTTATAAGTATATGTTCAATGCAATTTACTGCAAAATCTGAAATTTGCGAATTTAATCGCATAATGTACATAAAGATTTGTGCAGATTCCATGAACCAATCTGTGCTCATAACTCGAGATTGTGTATCAGAAGCATAGTAATATTATAGAAAAAGAAAAAATCATTTTCTTGATCTCATTAAACATAAAATAGATTTCAATTTGTTTCATAAGAATTATTATATACTAATTAATCTAATTAAAAAACTAAATAATTAAATAATATATGCTTAAACGTCAAAGTTTTAATCAGGGACTCAGACCGGACCAAAACCAAATCGGAACCAACAAAAAAAAATTGAAAAAAAAAAACCGTAAATAATTTAACCAATTCGGTTATGGTTCCGATATTATAAACATTATGAAATTTCAGTTCAGTTATAGTTTCGGTTTGATCAAAAACGAAACGATTACGATTACGGTTCCAGTTCCGGTTAATTCTTATCCGGTCCGAGTCCTTGGTTTTAATGAAAGCCCTCTTGCATAAAGAGTTTGAATAAAACTTTTCAATAAAAGTTTTAAATAAAAACCTTTGCATAAGTTGTCTTGCCTTTTCGAATACATCCTAATAAAATCATAACTACTTGTCACACACAAAAATAAATTCTTTTTCTAAAACGTGTTAATACACCATTTAAAACAGGAACACAAAATTGCTTCTAGGCAAAAAAGATCCTAACTATCTCTCTTCGTAAAACATACCGCTTAACCTGCTCTTTCTGATATATTCTAATAAAATTCTCAACTATCTGTAACACATAAAATAAAATTCTTTCTCTACGTATGTTAATATACTGCTCAAAAATAACTGGATCACATTTTTGACCAATCCTCCAAATTGCGCAAAATATGCATTTATACTTGTAGCAAAAGAAATAAAAATGTTACAATACTAACAAAAAATGTTCAAAGCTTTATATATACATAATATTGATATTTCAAAAAGAGATTTCATAATTATTTTGAGCAGTATATAACAAAAAAAATATAAATATTAAATATTATTCAATACTAATAACGCCAGCGACACGATTCTACTTTTATAAAACATCTATGCATTTTTCCTTTTTTTTTTCCTTTAAGTTACACATCACAAATATTAAAAGATGGTATAGCGGTTATTGTTTTACATCGCGTCAAATTTTATTTTTCTTTTATTTGATCGAGTTCTGCGATCCGATCAGAGGGAAGATCTGCGTGATTTTACCAATCCCCTTAGTACGCCCTTCTCTGAGCAACAATCGCATTCCAACGTGAAGATACTCCGGATGACTGACGAATCTGAATAACACGGAGGCGGTGTCGTTCGTCTGCAGTCCCCTGTCTGTCGCGTCCATTATTCCCTCGATGACACAGGTCTGTCTCACATTACCCACGTGCACCGTTGTTTGAAATCCGGGAAATATCGCAGTAGCATGGTACACTATCAATACCGTTGCCTGAAATACAGCAGAATATTTATACTTATAACGTTCTCATAAATAAAAATTTACAAAATAATTCGTGTAACTCGATCACCTTGAATATTTCTATCAGCAAACCGATCTATCTTTCTATTTTAAAAACTGATATCTTATAATTAGCTTATAGGCGTCTGTTTAACAAATCAAATCATAATGAAAACAGTATTGAAATCAATCTAACAGTTAAAATATTAAAAATAATACTTAAGTAATAATAATTAAGTATATCAAAATTTTATATACCTGAAAGAAAAATGTTGCATGTGGTCGATCACGTAAAGAAACTAAAACCATTCCTGGGCGAAGGTGCGGCAAGGGAGGGCTACGATTCGTCGGCGGTGCCAAGGTCAAGCTGGCACTTTGCGAGGCTCGAACTAAACAGCACGGAGCTTTATTGCGATGCAGACTAACGACTTTCACTGGGCTAAATTCTCCGTCCGGCAGAGGTCCTACTAATAAACGAGTTCCTGGAGCGATTGCCCCTTTAACCAGTAATCCTCCTAAAACTGGTTGCGTCAAGCCTGCTACCCTGTACAAAATAAAATAAAAGTCACATTTATAGAGCATTTATGAAAGATCTATATCGTTATTAAGATATTAATTATTCATAAAACATCAAAACTTTAATTATTCGTAACATATTAAATTTGCATACGATTACACGTACCTAAACGTTTCGTCAATCTGAAATAAACACGATTCCGAATCCGAATCAATCGAATTCGTTTCGTAAGGTGCCAAATTTTTGATAAAAGTAGTCAATTCTTCGAGGCCTTCACCGGTGACGCAACTGACACTAAATACTGGTATCAGATCAGACGTACAATCCCACGATGGTATTTCATTATTGCTGAACAATACTAATTGCTTAGGATAGCCCTGCGTCCTCATAGCATTCTCGAGTTGAACTAGAGTGTCGGATATGTCGCAAAATCCTAAATCGATTTTATTCACGACAATGAAGAACGGAAGTTTTAATGCTAAACAGAGAGCCATGTGTTCCTGCGACGCTTCGTTCAGAGGAGGTGCTATCACCAGCATAACGTGATGCGGTGAATATCCTGAAGAAGTTATTTGCAAACAATTATTATATAAATTATATAATTAAAAGTTATCAATTATATATCACAAATAATATAAATTATTCGTATTATAATGTACATAAAAATGTCACGTAATTAAAAATTTATGTTACACACCTGTGAGCCCAAGCACTGTCGTCCTCAAGTACTTCCGATGTCCAGCTAAATCGATAAAAGTGACGACTTTCGAAGCGTGTTCGCATATCTCTTCGGCTGTAGCCATTTCAGCGTAATTTAAGACGTGACCTGTGCTATCGAATCCGATAATCTCATGCGATATCGAAGACGTACGACCTGTCTTTATTTCGTGCAAATGACGTAACATGTTGAGTCTTGCTCTGCCTCTACCATTGTCTAATTCACCTTGCGTTAATACCCCTACGCAGACATTGAGTTTCGATTATAATCTTCGCAATCACATTTTCAATGAATTTGTACAATGTAGACAGATAATCAAGTAGCAGAGCGTAGCGCTGACCGTCGATGTCATTTCTCTACCTTAAATATCCTCTGCTAATTCTCTCACCTAAGAGAGTCGACTTTCCAGCGTCCTGCCCACCAGTAACCGCCAGTCTTAGATCTACGATACTGTCCTGGTCCTCTCTATCATCCTTCCGTAATTTTTTTACTAGCACTTCAGCAACCTTCTTTTCCTCCTTATTATTGTTATTATTATTATTACTATTGTTGCTTTGAGACACCAAAGCCTTACTTGTAGCTACTCGTTCGCGTAATACTCTTATGGTAGCGCCTAGTCTGGAAGCCATGTCCTTTAGTGTTTTTAAGGATGCTTTCATTTCCTCCTTTGTTAAACCCGCCAATCTACCGTTATCTTCTACTCCTATATACATATACAACATTATCAAAAATAAGCAAAAAAATAAGGAATGCAAAACTATGGTTGATGTAATTATTTATACCAATTTGATAAATTGCCTCTCCATGTCCCTCTCTTAGTCTCCATTTCATTTGGGTGACAAGATGTTCGAAACGTTGACTAGATGGATTTATCAATTTTAATTTGTACTCTATATTTCCTTGTTCCGGTTCTGGTGGCAGACGATCCTCTTGATCCTCATCAGCACTGGAAGTCTCACAATCCGATAATCCATTTCCCTCGTTTTCAGAATCATCCCATTGTCTCTTTCTTATATCCTTATTATCTTGTGGATCAAAAAGTTGCAAAAACGATTCCATATCTGCAACAGAAAGTAATATTATAATTATTACTAGTTTCATCACTATTATCAAAGTTATAAAATTTAATTGTATAACAAAATGTGAATATTTTCATTCATTAACATTTAATGAGAATATAAAAACTGTAAAAATATAATTATTTTAATTTTTTATTATTAAAAAAATATTTATAATAATAAATCTTTTTTAAAATTTGTAAAAATTAAATTCTTCAATTAAAATACATTAGAATAAGAATATATGTTTAGTGAATAAAATGCGTATATAAAATAAAGTCTTATAAATAAATCATGTAATACCATGTAACATCACGTAACACCATGGAATTGCATCATTTTTATATAGTGCCCCATAATTTAAGAATCGAATACAGATTTACAATTAATTTTTTCATAACAAAAATGTTAAGAAAGATCATTATTTATTGCCAATTTTTTATGAAGTAGTAAGAAACTGGAATTTTTTCAACAAACTGGTTCTGAAGACATGATGCAATCTGTGAAAGTAAGAATGTATTTTCTTGTTATTTTTTTTTCGATAAAAAAAATATAAAATTATCCTTTTACACACCTATTATACATTATCAATACATTTGATTAAATAATAATTACTATTTACTCTAAAATTTCCTTCTTTAGCGAGCGATACTCTCTCAAGAATACCCGCGAGAAGATTGATGTAATTATATATATTATATTATGACACATCACGCTATAATAAACAATGCCAATGCCAATGCCGATAAGAGGCAGATATTATGTCCTGAGACATGACTTGTTGGCTTTATAAAGGGAAATCGATTTGTGATGGAAATGATTGGCCGTATCGACGAACAGCTGTTTTAAAAGTAAAAGTGACAGCAAAGAAAAGAGAGGGACTTGTCTTGCGGAAATATTTCTAGCATCTTAACGGCAAACATGTACTTACTGCATCTCTTCCGAATTATGTTTCTTCCTCAAAAATTAAGATCGTTCTGTCGTGATCGTGTATTTAAGTCAGCGACTTTAACAAAGTCGCGGAACATGATAAACGTTCCTTCACCACGACTTTCTTCTTTTTCTCCCTCCGCAATTAGGTCACACACTGTCTGTCATTTCTCTGTTGACCGTAAACGCGACGAATTATAGAGCGGAAACTTAGCAAATGTAAAGTTACTATTTTAAGTTTGTTCTTTTTTTTACTGCACTAGAAAACTAAAACCAGAGAGAAACCTGAGAAAGGCCACGCTGCCGTTTTTCGATGGCTGTTATATTTATAATTCTATCTAGGTATTCATATTCTGCGACTAAAAATCACAATTAGAAATTTTTATGATGTCATATTGATAATACTGTAACTTGGAAAAGAACTGATCGAATTCATGTTTTCAGCAACTTCCAATAGTTTCTTTTCAACGGTTTGTCGAAATGGTAAGATAATAATATGTGTATTAATTGCGGTTACGAAATACGTTTACCTATCAAATATTAAATTACTCAACAAGTTACATTTTTTTTAGGATATCGACATCAATCATAAACATGATAGGAAGGTGCGGCGAACACAATCCAGGTCCCAAGATATATATTTACGTCTTCTAGTCAAAGTAAGCGTTTTTGACATATCAGGTCTGTTCTTTATAGCTGAACTGGCTACACTAGTTCAGAGTTTATCTTCTTCCTTCCACATTGGAAAGAGAAAGATAAACTATGAAGTAGTGCAGCCAGTTCAACTATAAAAACAAATCTATTGCTTTTGTCATGTTGTTTAATTTTTCTTCGAATGTTATAAAGTATAATGTATTAATTGTCATTAATGTATGTGATTTTTACATTAAAGTATTGTGATAATTATACATGTCATTTGTATATCATATTTTTTTATTTTTTAATTATATAAATGAATGAATTATTTTGATTTTAATTCTACATCTATGAAATTTTTCTCTTATATGCCTATAATAAAAAAAATTGTAATAATACAAAGATTTAATATTTATATATTGACATTGCATCTACTTTAAATTTTAAAGACTCCAAGTTCATTCTGATCTTATATGAAAAACTAATTGAAAGTATGTCATCAATAATCTATTTTATCTATTTAAAGTATAAAAAAGCGATTGTTACAGTCAAGCATATGAATTTGCTGCTTATTATGATATAAGAATTATGGTAATAACAAAATCTTTATTTTAGTTATATTGATATTTGGCGAGAAAGACACATTCAAAGTTTAACAAGATCATCTTAAAACTGTTCTTTATGAGCATAATTCATCGACCACCCATTTCACTCTCACGGATTGTGCGGTCAATGAAGAAGCCTGGACGGGAAAATTACATTGCAATAGCTGTTGGTACAGTCACAGATGATGCTAGGATCTTTGAGATACCAAAATTGACAGTAAGTGTGATATACATATATATACTAACATTTAGATGAAACTTATGTTAATATTATTGCTTTTAATATAATGTGCAATGTCAGACTATATCATAAACATAAGTTTATATGATAAGTTTATATGATAATCATATCATAAACATAAGTTTATATGATAAGTTAATTCTGACACTAAATTTTGTGCAGGTTTGTGCTTTACGTATGACGGAAAAAGCTCAGGCGCGTATTTTGAATGCCAATGGTGAAATTCTAACATTTGATCAATTGATATTACGCAATCCTATTGGAAAACACACTGTTTTGATGCAAAGTCCACGTAAAGATTGTGAAAGTGTGAAACACTTTGGACTAGCACCTGGTGTGCTGCACTCTCACACAAAACCATACATACGTTTCAAAAGGAAATTTGAAAAAGCAAGAAGTCGTAGGCGCAGGTTATAAGAAATAAGATAAATATAATTTACCTTAAGATATTTTTATTCACAGTACCACACACTCTTTTCATACAAGGGATGATCATGGTGGGAAATAAACATTTGTTTTATATGAAATATGAATTCTCTTTTTTTTCTCGTGTTACTGTAGATATTCAGAATTTTTTTCTATTTTGTACGCAACTTTGTCGCCGAATTATACTCGAATTTCGGCAAATTAATAAATATATTACATATAGTTGCATATGCGAATAGAATAAAATACTCTGAATATGTACAGTAAAACGATATGTATATATGAAAAGATAAAATGTATATATAATTATTATTAAGGTAATTTTGAATTTTGAATTCAGCTATCTACTCTATCAAGCTATAATTTACTGTTTACATTTTACCTTTTTTATATGCTGTATGATCAAAGCAATTATGTTGCTGCTGTATCCTGATTTTCTTCCATTAATTCCTCAGGTTTTTCCTCGTCATCCGACTGTGTGTCTTCCATAGCAGTAACATCCGGAAAATATAACTTTGACTCCTCTATAGCCTTTTCCGGATTTTCACTTACATGATAAGGTCCAATTCCAGCAAAACCCAAAAACGCTTCACATCCTACTTTCTTTACTGTGCAGACAAATATTTCGTAACTGTAAATGAAAAGCACAATAATTAATATACAGGTAAGAACAAATCAATTATAGAAATTATCTTTTCTAAAATACGCGAAAGCAATTAAAGATTCTAATGCTGTTTAAGTCATTTTTTTAAGAGAATTTAATAGAATTATTCAAAAATATCTTCTCTATAATTTTTTGAGAGTTTAAGATGACAAAATTTGAAAACATTAAAACATTAAATTTAAATATTATCAATGAAGTAAATATTTTATTTCGTATTTTAAAATACATGACTTAAAATTGAAAATAATTCAAATAGACATAAGTGCCATGGCATATTAATTGTTCAAAGTTTTTAAAAGAGTGTTTTGCAACTTTCAGATTAATATTTTCCAGTTTTGAAAGAATAAATTATATAATTAAGCCTTTTAATTATAATAGAATACCCTGTCTTCTCTTCAGCGTTCATCTCGAATACATCTATATTTTTGGCGATCATCTTAGCTTCAGGTGGTTTATCATATTCGAATATACCAAAATCCATAACATCATCGTTAAACATGTCTAATACCATTTTTAAATCATTTTTACGTGTATAGTCATATTTAAAGACGGTTATCGGCACTTTTGTCATCTTATCTTCGTACTGTGGAAAAAGATAATGCATGTTATATCAACTTAACATAATTATAATTAAATTATAATTAATTTTATTAAATTTTGAAAACACTGAATAAGACAATTTTTTAATTTTATTTTTAACAATCTATTGTTTAATAAGCTCTTCAAAAATTATGAAAAAATTTGTAAAATTTTATGAAAAGGAGACATATTTTTAACAAATGCTTACCGGATACGTCGTATTAGTGTAAACACTAAATATCGAACGAAAAACAATTGCTTTGTTTCTGGGATTTAGAGGTGTCCAAACAAAAGGAAACTTTTTAATTTCCTTATCAGGAACTTCAAAAGCTGGACAATGTTTTACGGCGAAACTACGTGAAATAAAGATTAATTTTAATAACATGAACCATTAATATTGTCAAAAGTTTCTAATGATTAAGTTTTATTGTTTTGATTATCAGAAAATATCAAAAATATTAATGTCACAGTTATCCTAATTGATTTTATGTTGCAGGTTTGCAATAATTAAATTTATACTCAAATAGATCACATACCAATCTTCATTCAGATCTTCTTCTGATTCTGGCAACGTCGATTGATTGAACACGATAGTGCACAGATGACTATGAACATCGACATCCTTTCTTCCCTCGACAATCTTTAATCGCATGAACATACATTTGCCATCAAGGAGCAATTGTTTGGCGTTCTCTGAGAAGCTATATGTCGACTGTACGATGGAGAATATAGAAAAAGGTATATTCCAATAATATTGAACATCTACATAATAATTAATATAAAAAAATAATGGAAGAAAAAATAGAACAATTACTTCATCGAGTATCTGATGAAGCAGATCATCATTCATTCTTTTGCGTATTTCTTGTTCCACTGTGTAATTTTCCGGTAATAATTCTTCGATCAATTCCACATATGGTGGACTCGTTCTCTTGTCTCTTCTTTTTCCCTCTTCATCCTTGAATATCCAGGGAAATAGCAGCAAACAAGTTTCATTACATAACGATGTCGTTAGATGTAGCATCTCCGCTTCGTATCTCGCCTTAGCTTCAGCCTCTGCACAATATTATTCTCGCTACATTATATATATAAATAGTCAGCATAATGTAATTGCATATAATTATTAAATTATGATGCGATATAATCTTCAATCTAATTACCGTTATCTTATATATATTTGAATTCATCTCAAAATAACTGGAAGTTTTCAAGTGCTTATGATCAATATTTTTTACCTTTTCGAGATTTCCTCGCTATTTCTTTGGCTTTTCTTGCCTCCTCCTGAATTTCCAATCGTGTTACTTCTTCTGGACTCATCTCGAAAACGTCTAATGAAAATCTAAATTTTTAATAAAATAATATTAAAAAATTATAGGAAATAAATGTTCTGCGATATCATACAATTAGGATATCATAGAATGGTCTCAATCGCAACTAATCTTTCATAATAAATTGAAATGGAATTGTTTATCTTTAAACAAAAAATATTAAAGTATCAGTAAACTTTAATTTGTAAGCAATGAAAGATAGTAAAGTGCAAATCTTGCAATTTTTGTGGATAACATTATGAATACTTACTCGTGTTCGCCGCCATTTTGAACTCTTTCAAGCTCAGTCACAAGCGTTTTCATAAATTGCGGACAATGAGCACCAAACATCAAATTTATCATTCGCCCTTCCTACCAGAAAAGAAAATTCTAGAAATTACTTCGCGAATTACTTGCGGGATACTTACATGAATAAACATCCACGTGGGTTCACTCTTGCCTTGAAATCTTTTTAAATCGGTGACGCGATCGCAACTCGCCTGAAAACGATGAAACTGCAGATAAATATATTCTGAGAATGCATTTATACGACTGGTATTTAAATATTACATTAAAAAATCATAATTATTCTAGAATATTATTTCTATGTATTATCTTGATTCTTCTAATTATTAATGTTATGCAATATTTTTATTTACTTATATGACATCTAATCTTTATCGCATTACGTTTTCTAGAAATTACCGTGGCGTAACTCAATGCGTCGCCCCCAATCTCCATCTTTATCTTCTTCAAAATGCTCACCATACCTGTACAAGGACCACTCCAATCCGAATACACATCCACCACTAGGTAACAATATTGCGATAAAATGATTTCTTTATTATATTCTGTGTGTGATCAGAGGAATATAACATCATACAACAATCAGAATACCATGAGATATCCATTAGATATCTAAATAATATTTTTTAATATTTAGATTTCTAGAATTAATTATCATTATTTATTACGTTCGCGAAGGACATTTGACAAAAAATTACGAATGAATCGTGCAAATAACATAATTATATAATAATTTTATTTAGTTTTTATGAAATATCTATTGGGTATCTCTCTTTTTCTAATTGTTTGAGATAGTTCATGAATGTTACTCGCCTACTAAACCCTTCCGCTTTAGTATCTTTGCCCATTCTTCATCATTAATAACTTCCGTCTGCAATGCCGCGGGTGCCACTTTCTTTGCCATTCTTCTCGTCGTCTTCGTTCCACCCTACAATAAAACATAATTAATTATTGCTTTAATAACATTAATAACTTTTTAAGTTTGTTTTCTATCAAACTTAATTATTTTTTTGTTAAATTTTAACATTAAAAAGATGCAAAAACTATCTAAAAGATGTTTAAAATGTTTTTCAAAGATCTGTTTAATGTTTTTTGAAATTTCACACGTTTATGTGTGCAGGAAATTATTGTATTTATGTAATGTTATATTTTTTTAAACATTTGTGTTGTGTTCTACCCTTTTGCGCAACATCTTCGAAATTAAGAAATGAATTTGTGGATAAGAAATTTAATTTCGGATCGATTGATCTATCTTCGGCGAAGTGAAAAGGTGCACTGCATTAATCGTGTATTTTCTGCCGGTTTACTAGGCTTCCCTTCGGGCTCGCTTTCGGTTGCACGGGGACATCGGCGACATGGTAGGCACGCGATATAATATGTATAATGATTAACGAGCTCGTGATACAAATACACGCACAGGTAATTACGGTGCAGAAAATCGAGGGTTTGGCGGAGTATTATAAGTTCTACATAATGATCTGAGATATTAACTAGGACATGCCTTGAGAAAGAAACTCCTCCCTCAAGAAAGAACATTATGCAGAAGCCATTTAATATGTAAATATATATCAAATATATGTTATGTGCCTTCAAAGATATCTTTAGACAAATACTATACATATATTTAAATATATAGATGATATATTAATACATATTAATTAACACTGTTTAATTAATACTATTTGTTATAAATAACTTTCGTCATTGTAGCAAATATTTATCAAAGAAACGGAAGTTATTTTTTAGCATTTCAGCATAATATTAATAAATTTTGAATTAGAAGTTATTAAATTTTGATATGTTTGATATATATCTTTAAAAATACATAACATATATTATGAATTTATTATATATTTCTAAATATATTTTTAAATATATGTATATATATATAATATAATAAACATATCACAAAAATATATTTAGATAACATATATAGTTGATATACATATGATTAAAATTGTATATGCGCATAAGAAATCACTTTGATTCTCAAAAACAAAGTACATCAGATAGTTAATCCTTTAATCGACAATCCAATAAAATTTGTTCATAGCCTATTATAATTATGCTAAGCAAGTAAACAAAGATAAGGTTATCATCGCCATTATCTTGCTAAAAAATTTACAATTTTATCGAAGAGGTACGTCGCCTTTCAATATAAGAATTAAGTTTCTTTAATTTACCAATTGAAGAATTCAGTAGATCACGATACATTGCGTTTAAAAGATTTTGCAGGAAATCTACTGCGTGTCACGACAGATTATTCCTTGGTAATTAGAACGATGTTCGTGTAATAATTAAAGCGCGACTTACACATCAATAAATAACCAGGTCTTTGTTGATTTCCATCTATTTGGTTGCTATGTAACGATATTAGGATCTACCAATACTTCTATATTATATATTTAGCACATGACTAGCAGATTGACAATAGATTGACAAGTAAATGGACTTCTGTAATATAGCATGGCATATTCGCAGCAGAAACTATATAAAATACATGCTTAATTATCATTGACTGTCATTAGCTTGAGTAAATGCATCGAAAGAAAGAAATTTACAACGAGAAGAAAAAATTGCAGAAATTGTTGCAGGCAGTATTATAATTATGGTAGTTTTTATCATTAGACAGTGTAAAAATAATTATTAGATTGTTTGGAAAGTTTTTTAATTGTATATTTACAGAAAAAATTAGAAATCTTTCTAAACAGTTTAATATTTTAAATATTCTTTTTTTTTTTAAATTGACATTACTATCAGATCAGAAATCTATAAATATTGATTATTAACCTTATTTTAAAATTATTAAATGTAAATGAAAAATGAATAATTTATAGAATTGAATAAATGATCAAATCTTATTCATAGATCTTGTAAATTAGCGGTAACTCAATAGTTTCATTTTCTGAATTAATTTTTTAGTTTGAACAGGATTTAAATATGACGCGTTTATATCGTAGAATTGATGAGTATCTTGATAGTGATGGCAGTAATCACTAGATGGCAACTATATTCATTTAAAATTTCACTGTTTGAAATACACATGTAGTAAATAGTTGGAACCATTTTGGAGCTGTGCCTTCTAATTTGTAAAAACATAATTTAATTTTTAATTTATTTAATTTTGAATGAATTATTCAGCAAGTATATCGTAAGTTGCATCTTGCAATAAAATCAAATACTCCAAAGCTTAGCGATTGTCAACTTTTTAAATTGTCATTCGTAAATATAGTGTCATTTATAACGATTATCAAATTTAATAAAAGTAGTGAAAGTGTATTAGTTCACAAAGTAAAAGTGCATTTATTAAAAATAATATGCTATAATGAAAATACAGAGTGATTAAATTTTTGAGGTTAGATTGCTAATCATGATAATAACATTTCTTATAATTGTACACATGTAATTATGTACTCAATATTAAAATAGTGACCTATTTTTAGATTTTAATTTAAAATATTTAATTACTAATGAGCTTATATGTTATGATTATTTAAATTATTTTTTGTTTTAATCATAGAAGTAATAAAAAATAATAATTTATATAATTGCACTTTGATAATAATTTTTTACTCTTGTAAAATTTTTAGCAATTCACTAAAAATTAAAAGCGATTTTTATAATACGTATAATTTTAAATATATAAAAAATAACTCAAAATAATAAATAGGAGAAAATGTATATAAGTTTTATTTTAATTAACATATTTCTTTTATATTACAGAAGTATATATGCATTAAAAATTTTAATAAACAAACTATTAAACAAGCTTTACAAATATGTTGGGAAAAGAGGCTGTGAAACTCATAGCAGAGCTGGATACACATGAAGATATCCGACCATTTAATGTCAGTATTATAAATGCTACTATTCTTTGCTATTATTTTGTAAGTTATTATAATTGTAAAATTTTTCTAATTTACAGGACCAAGTAATGCGGCAAGTTTTTGAAGAAATGCAAATACTTTATGAAGCCAATCTAGTTGACAGGTACTTTACATGTTTGTCAAAATAATTTTTTAACTTAAATTAATATAAAACAATAAAATCACAAAGTATTTTATTATGCATATTTATAAATTATGCATATATCATTTTATATATATGTAAAAATATAATATTTTAAAAGCAGTAAAAAATTCAATTTTATAAAAGATTATAAATGTCAATCTTAATGAGTTTTTCTTATGAATATTTCAGCACAGCTATACAGAATGAAGGAAATAACGCTTTGTTACCGTCCGTCCATTTTCGTCATACAGCGCTGCTCAGGAATAAAAGGTGTGTCTTGGCTTATTTGTATCACCGGATCAAACGATTACGGCAGCTGCGCTGGGAATTAGGCAGCATTCTACCAACTGAGATAACCTCCAACTTGTTGAATGCAGAGGTACAATGGTTTCAAAGTTACAATAAATCTTTAGCTACTTACATGAGGTCAATTGGAGATGACAATGGATTAAATTTAACTATGAACATGAGTCCTCCAAAGACGCTTTACGTTGAGGTATGTATTGTACAAATTAGAATACAATATTTCAAAGAATCTTAGTACAGAAAAATATGTTTCTTGTTACCATTTTTATGTTCTAAATGATATTTTTCAGTTATTTCTATTTATGTATACGCCATATGTATTATATGCCAATGTATTTCATTTAATTTTTCATTAGATCAAATGTGATCAATGTCAGCATTGAATAAATTTTGGAAAAGTAAAAAGCTATGTAAATTTATTATCAAAATAAGGTTTCAGCTATATTAAACTTCTTTACAAGGATATTTTATAAAAAATTATTAAGAAACATCTATTACATATTTTATGTGATTTTTTTAAATAGCACAAATAAGAAAGCTTTTAATTTTCAAAAATTTTAATTATTTTTGTGGAAAAAGAGAAAAATATTTTAACTTGTTTTTTTTTGCAGACAATAATTAAATAATAATGATTTCAGGTAAAGTGTTTAACAGATTTTGGCAAGCTAGAACTTGATGACGGCGAAGTTATTACACTTAAAAAAAATACATATCATCTGCTACCAAGAGTCACATGTGAGCCACTTATCAGGCAAGGCATACTCGAACATCATAACACATAATAACTGCTGCGTTATGATAAACGTATGAGAAACATTCCCATTAATTTTGTCGTATATTTTAATATCATGTCTATTTTTACTCCAACATTACCATCTCTGATATATGCATCTCAACAATAAAGATTTATCCTATCAGTCGCGTATATTTCCATCGCAAATTTTCCAATCTATACTCGTATTTAATGATAAAAATAGTTTATCTTTAATTTGATTGTATAATGTTCGTATATCGAAGAAATAATATTTATACACATATGTTTTTCTGATGGAAATATGAATCTAGAATTCTTTTTCTGTTGCCACATCTTTATGTGCTTTATTCAGTTTTTTTCCACTCTTTAATCTCAAGTAAATAACGTAGTAATCTTTATTGTTATCACGCATATCAAACGTGATATAGAATATATACAATAATACGTTAGAATAATATGTATATACAGACAATGTTTTGCCACTAAGCGCTTAATGGCAAATTTTGTGGCTAATTTACGGCCGATTTAATCATTAAACAAAATAAGTAACTTTTCAATCTTTAATTACACATTTTTACATCTAAACTGTAATTAAAATTCTATTAAAAATTCATTTAAAATTAATAAAAAATTTGAAATTTAAAATAAAAAAATTGAAAATTAATAAATTTGAAAAATGTAGTTTTGTTAGCTTGTCTTATTGTTGAAGTTTTAGATTTAACAAGTAATTTATTTTGAATTACCAACTATTTACATTAACAATTACTATTATTTATAATACCAAAATATTTTTTACATTAAAAATCATGATAATGCATGACAGAAAAATGTACAATTTGTTAAGTGACGAATATTTACTCAACATTACTAAGACAACTAGTGTAGGGCTTTAATAATAGTGTAATAATTCCATTTCCTTGTCCTGTCGATCTCAAATTTCTAGGATAAAGAAAAAATCTGTTTTGATCTTCCCTTTTTCCCTATTTATCCCCTCCTTTCCTTTTACAGTGTGACGTACAATATATATAGTACACGTGTGCAATACGCGTAGTCTACCAGCAAGCAATGAGAGTCTTCGGCGAGAAGCGACAGTCGATGTTTATCTCTGGTGCTACACTCCAATCTAGGACAAATATCCAGTTGACAAAAAAGCATAATCGTCGTTTTTTCTGCTGATTGCAAGAAATATAAAGAGACGCTATCCACAATCAATAAGCTTCTGCAGTAAATGGAAAAAAAGTATTAGTATATTTTAAACATCGACCGGAAAACCTTCATCGCGCTGGGACTTGACACTCTATTCGCCAGTATTTAGTAATGACAGGTGGGTAAATAAAATTTATCATTACATTTGAATCCGTCAAGGATTGACATGCAAAGAATTTCAAATTTTTTAAATTACTCTTTTGTCAATAAAAATATTTTTTAATATTAATCTTATAATATTATTAACTAAGGATGAAATAGAATTTTGTCCATTTAAATCCATTTTAATCCATTTTAAAGTTGATCTTACAAATTATTATTAAACTTATCAAAAGCGAAGAAAAATTATGAAGTATGTGTGATACTTAGAAAAAAAGAATTTTTAGTTTGATGTTTATTTCTCTTCTGATGCACTTTAAGAATCAAAAATTTTTTTATGTTTTATATAATTTTCTTATATATACGTAGTAAAATCCAAAATTAACGCATAAAAGTTATAAGCAAAAATCTCGGGAAAAATGTATACATTTCCTTTGGATTGCGTGTATGTACGCGAAAAAAAAACTTGAAACATTATGAATATATGATTAGTATAAAATTGTTCATATATCATATAATGTCGTAAATAAGAAATCTGCCAAATTTCATAAAGATTAAAGACTGGAATAAAGATGACGATGAAATAGTCATCACTTTCTTTTTGCAAATTTGTAGAATCATATTCATTCGTAAGCTACTAAATTATGCAAAAGAAAGTTCAGGGACCAAAAAGAATATATCGAAAAGAAATATAAACGGAAGTTCATAAATACCAGAGGAATAACGCACAATTCGTGTGCTACGCCATGCTTGAATCAGCGTACTTTCCCGTCTCTGTGTTGCACAGTTTAATATTAGTAATATTTGTCGCAATATAAATTTAAAAACGTTACTTTTCTTTTTGTCTTATATAATCGCGACGTTAATCGGTTTTTTTTTGTAAACAACATAAGCTCGTAGATTTACAAGCTCGAGATAACCGATGTATTATAAAGGCGTAAGCTTGTGATACATGAAAAAATACAAGTTGAGTAATAATTATTCAAATAATTTTATATAATAGAAAATATTAATATTTTAATAACGCGTAAAATAAATTATAATACAAACTATAAGGAATCATACATATTGATCAATTCAAAGAGTTTCTTAATTTTTTTTATGAAAATAAAATTGAAATAGTCAAGAAATTAAAAAAAAAAAAAAAAAAACAAACCTTGAATTAATTGGTAAATTATATATAATACAATATTAATATATATGTTTAAAAATAACATGATATTAATGTATTAGTGATTACACAGTTCAAAAACAATTTTGATTCACGGACTTGCATTGTTTCAAAAGATAATCAATTGAAAATTGTAGGCGTGTGACTTGTAACTCAGAAAGATTCGCGCAGGGTTTACGTGACTCTAGAGATATATTCCTATTTTTTGGTTTCTGTGATATTTTTTATCGTATTGTAACATTTTTGTAATATTTTGCGTCATAAGTATTTATTCTTGATGTTTAAGAAGGGCGTTAAGGGTATTTTCCATTACGAACATGAAATTTGTGCAAAATCATTGGAATCTCCCTTCTGGAATAACCCTGCTCGAGTACTTGCGTAAATATTGTATCAAATCTTAATAGCGTTATGTATAGCGGCACTTATCAATGGTTATTAGAGCTTGTGTAAATATGCACATGCACGCGTGCGGTTGTGTGTTTCGCGATAAGCGGTGTCGCATGCAAAATTGTGCGTACAATTTCGTCAGCGTAATTGAGCATCGCGTCATAATCATTTCCTTCAAAAATGCAAATCACAATTGTTTATTTTGATATGTGAGTTGAGTGATTTGCAAGTGCAAGTTATTTCTCTAATAGCATTTTTAATGTATCGGTACAATTGAGATAAAGTATTCATCGATGAAGTATTACAATTTTTTAATGAAATTTTAATCTTCAACGCGCGATTCGATACTTATTATCTTTATTTGCCAAAGTCTTACGTTCCTATCTTTTATTTGATTTAGAAATGTATGTATTTTGTTACCAAACACGTCTCGGTCTTTGATCAGAAACTGTTATTTTAATTGCTCACCGTTGTAAATGATCGATGGTGAGCAATTAAAAGATTATAAAGACAATTATTGACACTTTGCAATACCAAGTATACACGTACGTTACAAATGCCGTAATTATTTGCACATTTTCTGCTGTTATCGCAGGTTTTCCCCCAGATAATCTGGGCATTGACGTTGGGAAGTTTACTTGCTAACAAAGGTCGCTCGCACGCCGAAAATCTTCACCTTTGTTTCTAACTAATTGCTCACCACAATCTTATCTCAAAATCGCTTTAATGCATAGTGATATTAAATAATTTAACTGATATATTTTCAGTAAGATAACATCTATTCCGAAATGATCAAAAATTGAATTCTGTGATAAGTTGTGCTTTTCGTGGATATTTTTTATTTATTAGAAATTTAACGAATAAAAAATTATTACTTGACAAATTTAAGAAGAAAAGAATTGCTATTTTGAAAGTAAACGCTTTTGCTTCTAGTTTTGCTAAGAAAGTACATTCATTCTTGTATTTAAAATACAATTGTAGATTTTTTCGACCTGTTGTACTAGACGCAAGATTTGAGAAATCTGAGCGACAATAGCGTTTCACCTTCAAAGAAAGAAGACAGCGTATAGTTGACAGAGATTTGAACGGAGGTAGTAGATAATGAACGGTTTATTGTCTTAACGTGAGGCACGCAGTGCGGCACGGCATGACCTCTATAATAACGGAAAAACCCGTGGAATTTCTGTGGAGAAGTTTCTTTTGTGTCGTATTGAGGTCGCACATTCGGCGGCGTCGAATCGATTTCCCGATACTGTAAACGACTGTGAAACGTTTATTGCTGTGCCTTGTCGCTTCAAATAGGAAATGTCGCTGGAATTTCCGGTGAGTTCGCGTCGCACCGCTTTTACCGGGGAGAAGCCACAAAGAAAGTAGCCCGATGACCCCAATGTAACGGCAAACACGAAAGTAGCATCAGTCAATGTTAAATCACGTCTAGAGTGTATTTGCTGGCTCATGCGAGAAAGTTGCGAATATCTGCAAAGTCAAGGTATTGTACTTTGCGCATGCATAAAATTATAATATAAGGTTGATTTAATGATTTCTGATCATCGACGCGATTGCGAGTGTTACGGACAATTAGAATCAATTAACTGTATCACACATACTTCTTCGCATTTGGTATTTGTTGGCTCATTTTACAATATTGCCTCGATTATATGTACAAGAGACATTTTATAAGAAGTTTTTTTGAAACAGAGAACCAAGGCTGTTGCATCTAAAAATATCGGATCATCAAGGTACGCATTCAAAGAACATCAAGGTTCTTGTATTTAAAGAATTATTAGTCTTAAAGAGAGTAAAGAAAAGTAAAACTTGAATCGCGACAGGAAGTGGCAACATCTGGCATCCGATAATTTATAATCTATTTTATGAAATAATATTCGCGCACGTATTCTTCGTATGTTAACAAATTTCAATGCCAGATCACGGCAATAAAAATTGATTAAATTTTTAGAATACGTAAAGTTAAATATGCTAGTGGCCAGACATGTCCCAATCTCTACTTATTAACAAAACAGTTATTAATTAATATTTACAAATATGAAATCTAGAAATAATATTAAAGAAACGTTAGTAACATAAAGTTTTATATAAAAATCATATTAAAGTATTAATATTGTGTAATATTTAATTATATAACAATACAATGAGCTGGTATAAATTAATGAGATTATATAATGTGTACAATTTAGATTGATTCTTAATGATCAATTAATAATCGTAATTTTTTGGTTTTATTTCTATTAAGCAAACTTTAATCTTTAATCTTTATTAATACACGAAGAGATGAAGAAAATAGTATTTTGATAGAAAAAATTGTTTTCAATAATGAGTGACTCCTAAATGTCCAGCTACTGAAATATTTATTTTATATATTTTTATAAGAATAACGTCGCGGTTATGCCGACAAAAACCCGCGATTGCACGCATCTGTCGCGAGACCACGCAAGATGCGATAAGAGCACTTGCAAACGCGAATTACTAAGAAAGAAAGAAATGTTGATAACGCATGATGGAAAATAATATTACGCAAAAAGCTTTCATCAATTTGAAGCGCGTTGTGATCCGCGCATATCACCTCTCGAAAATGATTGGCGGGGGGATATATATAATTTTCTGTTTTACTGTCACGTTTCGTAGTTCATTTGCTACCCCTTCATGCCGACATCTGATTAAAGGTACAATCTTTATCAGTGTTTTTTAGATTAATTTAAAAATAATAGAACTAAATATTTTTAATATTAAAAATATTAAAAATAATTAAACCACATATTTTTATTCTTCATAATTATAATTAATTCTTATTAATTATTCTTTATAATTATAAAGAATAAAAATGTGTGGTTCAATTATTTTTTATTCTTTTTTTACTGACTATAATTAATTACAATCAAATACGACTTTAAGAAGTTTTTTATTCTGTAAAACCACAGTAAATAAAAAACGGATGTTTTTTTTTTAGCTTTAACAGACTTCTTGTTAGAAATAGCACTGTGAGTATAAAATTTTTTTTTTTCTGTTTTCTAGTTTTTATCTTTTAAACAAGCATGCTAGCAGGAAAACACTGCGTAAATAAAGTTTAATTCATGTTGCCAATAGTTAACAAAGAATGTGGTGTTTTTCTCGCGTTTTTTCTACTAAATTTCCGTTCTCTTGAAGTTTTATCATACCGGGTTTTTCTTCACAATCAATCTGTGGTAAAAACGTACTTTGAGTGAAAGATACGAATTCATACTATTGATATCCAATGGATATTCCCATCTACACTCTATCAGTGCGTATCTGGATGTCAATATCTGATCAGTTCAGCGCTTCTATAAAAGCAGTGGAAGTTAATTGGAGCTTTATTTTCTTCTTTGTATCTCGAGATGAATATTAGAATATATAATTCTGGTATAAGTATATAATATTAGAAAAATATTATCGTTTTCACCTAGAGTTGTGCAATATAAAAATTTGTGTTGCAGTGTAAAACACATTTCGCTAACGGGTTTCATCAAAGCGTTTTCTCTGTGGTTTTTAAGTCTTATCTATAGCATGCGAACACGTCTCGCAGCCATGTAACTGTCCCTGCCCTGGGTTTTCCCGCTACTCTGTCCTCTGCGGGAATTATCGCCTGCTTCATTCTCATTAAATGGTAGTCTCGCACATGCGCATAGAGCTTGGTTTCTAATGACGTATCTAGTTGAGTAAAAAGAGGTGTTGTTCGGCCCTTATGATTTCTTCGAATTTATCTAAAACCTTGAATTGATTCATTTGTCAGATATCTTTAAAAAATCAATAAAAAATATCTGATATCTTTTATAGCAGCAACTCATAGCACGCGATAACACACCACACGCGATAAGAAACGATGCGTTTTCCCGTTATTTATTTCTCGAAATACGGAGTTTCCATGTTACTCAGCCATTGAAGTATACACGTCACTGCACTCGATGCAGTGCACATGCGCGAGAAGCGTGGTTCATTTAGCAACACTAGCTCTCTCTGCGTGTCAGTTCGTTCCGAGTGACGAAACGAGCGAGTTTGTTAGCACTTGTACGACCACGAAACGACGCACGATCCATCACAACGAAATAGACCCACGCTTGTTGCTCATGAGCGACGGAAGTCAATTCAAGTGTCGCGTCTAGTTTCGTAGTGTGTAGTGAACGAAAAGTAGAACGGATTACAGCCAGGCGAAAATATGCCAGTGTCACGGAACGAAAGCGGACAGAGATAGAAGAACGGGCAGATCAAAGTGCGGGACCAGCTGTTTTGCGAAAGGTTATCAGGCGACCGCGCCGAATATAAGTACGCGTCGGCGTGATCGAACGAACGGAAGAAAACGTCGGACGCTCCCAGAGTGTACCGACAATCGATCGAACGTGTTAATCGAGAAACGAGGATAAATCGTAATAACGGTCACGAGAAGCGGAAATTAGAAAGTGTATTTCGAGGAATTGTCGCGCTACGCGAATGCAAATGTAAACGAATTGCGCGAACGAGCGAAGTATAACGAGGTAAAAGGAGTCGAGAAATAAACAGAGTCTCGCCGAGCTGATTGATAGTATAATCAAGCTATTGGCACTGCATCGCATCAGTGTTTTTTTTTTGGCATTAGAATCTCGTACTGCTTAAACGTGCAATAGCGCTCGTTATTGCTGTATTTCATTTTGTATTTTGTGACATTGTGTCCCAGATCTAAGACATATCTATCTAATTAAAAAAAGGAAATTAGCGTTTAATATACAGACGATCTGATCGAGGCACGAAAGGACGAAATCTTATTTTCGGCGGTCAAAATGTGGCATCCGACGAGTAAAACCGACCAAATGGAGAAACATATTACAGAGGACGACAGAAAGCAGCAACAGCGGAAGGAGTGGAAGTGCGACGACGACGAGTACGCGACGGGCAACGTCGATTCCGGATTCCTGTCGAGCGGCAATTTACAAAGCGACGAGATCAGCGACCTGGAGCTGCAACCGCGTCAGGAGGGGCGACAGGGAGAGGGGGAGCAGCGAGTCGCGCCGGGAACGACGTTGATCGCAACGGCATCATCATCGTCGGCAGCGATTGAGGAGGAACCAATGAGGGCGATCGACAGCGGTTTGGATCTTGACCTCACCGAGAGTCTGAGCCAACTCTCCCTGAAGCAAGTCAGTCTGAACCGACTGGACAGTGGCAAACTTTCCGAACCAACGACTCCGAAATTAACACGCGTGACCGGAAATCCGGTATTGGACAACACCAAATTAGAACATGATGAACTTCAACAACAGCAAGGAGACAGCGGCAGCTACGACGAGCGTGCGACCAATGAGGAAGCCTGGCAGCTCTACTACGCGCAGGACGACGATGGTGACACGTGAGTGAATATTCTCTTCATTTATTTAATCCTTTGACTCTGGAGCGAATGCTCCATTTGATACATGTCAGTCAATATAATTCTTTTTGAAGAAAAGATTAATGTTTGTTAATTCAATATTGGTTACCTGATTAATATTAAATTAAATTTAGTGCAATTTTTATATCAACTTCGGACTAGAATCGTGTATTTTTTTTTTTTTGTCAAAGCTGAACTAGAGAAACAATATTAATACGTTTTTGAAAATTGAAACAAATTACGTAATACAATTTTTTTATTAATTATCTTTGTCATCTAATTAATTCTATCTCTTCATTTCCTGTTTTTAACACCGATAAATTGATGTACCGTTAATTCACAATCATGTTAACGGTTTGTTGCGGCCAGACCGCATTTGCGATCACGCGTCAGGATGCTAACAACAGATCCAGGGTCGAATGTATACTATATAAATGCTAATGTGCGATCCAACTCAATGGGAATATCATACGGGAAGTAGTTAAGATCAGATAGCTATTTTCTTGCAAATACCAATGAGCTCTGTTCACTTTCTTGTTCGAGGCCGCGATTAAAAATTCTGAAGAATCATGAATAAATTCTGCAGAAATGTTTAGCAACTTTGTGTAAATGTTTTTGAAGTTTATACACATCTGCAATGGGAAACTCGTTCCATTTTCCGTAGATATGTTTAGCTCGAATTCTTTGTTATCTCTGTTTGACCTGTTTCACATATTGGAATTTTAATTGGCAAGATTGGACCTAACAAATAGCAATTTCTATTCTTATTTCATTATCGCGAGTTGTTTTTTTATGAGCATGGCGCGAGTACGTTGATTCAAGCGTGAGCATCATTATGCATATCGTCGACGTTGGCATTCACGTAATTAGAGTGATATATACATACGTACGTGCACCTGACTTAAGCACGTTGACCGACTGAAACGAGTTTTATTCTTTGATAAGGATCATCATTCGGGAATTTAGCTGAACAATGATAGTAAATTACAGTGACGCACATGAGAATTTCATTCAAGAGGGGACGCATGAAAGAGATAAAGGAAATAAAAGAAGAAACTATGTAAACACATTAGACAATATGAAAAAATAAATATGAGTCTTCTTTTTTAACTTATTTTGAAAACAAACAGTATGTAATGCAAGATGGTTACTGTATGAACAGAGAGAATATAATGCGAAAATATCAATAATTTAATCGTTCGTTGAATAATATAAATAAAAATATAAAAAGTGCATACAAATATTAACAAACAAAGATGCTGAAAGAATTACCGCTCCATTGACTTTGGCCGTTTATACTTATATAACATTTATTCTTACAGGCAATTGCACATCGCGATCGTTCAGGGCTTTGTGGAAGCTGCGATCTGGTTGATAAACATGGTGCCTGATCCGTGTCTGTTGGACACTCTGAATGACGACTGGCAGTCACCTCTACATCTGGCAGTGTTGACCCATGAGCCGTTGATCGTTAGACGCCTAATATTGGCTGGTGCGGATCCATCTGCGAGGAATTTCCGCGGGAACACGGCTCTCCACTTGGCCTGTGCGAGCGGTGATTTCGCTTGCGCCAAGGCTCTCACCGATCCTTTATCTCTGAAGGAGAGAAAACAGTTGACACCCGAGAAGAAAGTGCCCGTTTTGCCTCAGGACTTGGAGCAACCTAATTATAACGGTGAGTCTAGTCGATGAATGATGACTGGTTTTTTTGAAAAATCGTTATTAGCTTGCGACGAGAAATGGATGGATTATTGTGGAAGATAAAAGACGGAAGTTATTGGGAGAAAATTTAGAACGGTGTCGGGTCAAAGAATTCATTAAGCGCAAGAAGAATTGTTGTTCGCCTTGCCTTGTGCTCTTATGATGTATTTGAATGATACAATAGTTATTTGGAAGTTTGCAACATAATGACTGCGCGCGTGCATTAATCACCGTATAACGCGAAGAAAGATGACCCATGTTCGTGACACAAAGAACGCCGAGGTAGCGTTGGAAAATCCTTACTGCTTTTACTGCGGAGAACAAGTCATGCGCGTAAGACTCGAGTACCGGATAATTACGACTATGGACACGTGGAATCGCGCGAATAATTCTTATGATTTCATCGAGAATTATATATTCTTTATCATTTAGAAGTTTCGTCATTTCATAGAATATCGTAAATATATTTTTTTAAAAAGAAAAAGTTATGTTAATCTCTGATCAAGATAATTTAAATTTGAAAAGTTTGCAACCATATCGAGTATCCTTTTTAAAAATGCAAATAGAAGCGTTACTCTTTATTACATTAAGGACATTTTACTTCCATCTGTTTTAAATTTCATCGGATTTACGTATACAGATTATATTTGCATACATTTGACGCTGTTACGACGACAGGTAGTGATATCAATGTAATTTGCATATATCATGACGTGTATTCACATCAAATTTTGTATGACGTATTTATTGACGCGTTAAATGTTGTTTTGATCTCTTGATTAATCGCATTTATTCGATTTCTGATTATTACGATAATGATGTAGCTTCCTGTGATTATCAATCGATAACGGATATACTTATTAGTACATACGTACTTACTCAGGAAATTCCTATTATTATGTGACGAAAATTCGTGCAAATATATCATAAGAATACTTCAGTCTTATCGAAAAATTTTATGGTAAAACCATGACTTGGCCGGATTCGTCAGAGTTCACTGAATTAACGTTAATGTTCAAAAATGAAAGTTTTTGAAAGCGGAAACAGATAAATGTAAAGACACGAGCCTTTAAAAGTTTATATTTGCAAGAATGTTATATGTCTTATGACAAATGTTTGTCCATGCAATTATCCGTATAATGTGAATTGAGTAAATCTCTTATAAAACTTAAAGCAAAGTTTTGCTGTTTAAATTAAGTTTGTTTACGAAATTTTGTGTAAATTCTGATTTTTAAAACCTATATTCTTTTAATTAATATTTTTTTATGTTACTTAAACATTGCTATAATGATTGTATTGATATAATAATTACTATCAATATTCATGACATTTTATAACATTTTTTTTCTAAAAATATTGTTTAAGATAATTTATAGATGCTACATTCTTTCCAAATTGAAGAATGCGATAGAAAAAAAGAGAGCGAGAAGAAAGAAAGAGAAAATCGTTTCCGTCGGCAACAATCGATCGTCACAAAATGTTCGCTGACTTTTTAAAAGTCTTGGAAATCCCGCATAGCGTCATCGGCGCGCGTATTTCGCCGCAAGCTCGCGCGATGCGGATAACGCACTTATGGATGCACGTGCAAAACGTGGCGTAATCGATCACTCGGGATGGTGATCAATTAATCGAATGCGAAATTGCGAACCTATGGTTCAACTTTTACGCACGTGTTAGATAAGATATTCGCATATTTGTTCTACATTTATGATTAAGAGTCGAATGATTACGAGTGAGTGACGAATAATTTCTTAGTACTGTTCTCGTGACCGAGAAATTACTGATTCATTGGGAATAATTTGCATTCCAAAGTCTATTGATCATTTTCTTGCAAATGAACTTTTGATTGGAGATTAAACAAGTGATATTTAATAACTGGCAATAAGTGAAACAACTAACGAATTCTGTGGTGACAATCTAGAGAGAGAGAGAGAGAGCGCATTAACTCAAATTAGATAAAATTATTATTCCCAGAATTTTATTGAGTTTTAACTTATCGATGAACATGCAAACACGCGACGTTACTTTTTCTGAAATGAAAAGAAAACATATATTTTACGTATATTTTAGCTTTACTATTCAAGAAGAATCTTGTACGCTTAGCAAAACAAGAGCGAATGTTTTGCGTTTACAATGGAATTCAGCACGATCCTACGCTGGCGTGCGCGCGCGTGTTACATTACGCGGCGCGTCGCGACGCCGTGAGACCGAAGAGAGCGCCAGATGTTTTTGATACTTAAAAATACCTGTAGGACTATTTGCGTGCTGCGATATTCTCGCCTCACCTCTCCACGGCTCGTTCCGTCGGGAAACCCCACAGCGGCGTCGACGTCAGTGGCCTCCGGCTTGGATCTTCACCCTTAAAAAAAATCAATTCGCTTTCATACTTGATCTTTAATCAGAACGATATTTCCAGATTTTATATTGCGTACTTTAAGAAACGTAGAAAAATCTTTTACGTCGCGTCTACCGTTTGCGCTCTTGAGAAGCTATACTTTAAGTTAACAATCTAATTGACATTGACATTCTTAATTGAATGTACATATACATATAAATAGCAAGATTGAGTAACTCTTTCAATGTCATTGTAATTGATCGTGCGCGATAAAAACAGGAGCGACGGTATGTTTTATACAGTTGCGAATAATCGTCACAATCTGCTCGAGATGGGAATATTTTTATTCATAAAGGTGGGACGATATCGACGTAGACGTACACAGCTGTGAAAGTATGCTGCTAAATTCCGCCAATGCGGCTGGTAACGCGGTGCAGTTAATTTTAGCAGTTACTTTGATCGGCGCGAGCCTAGTTTGGACCGCGGAACGCCGGCCAAACTTCCGACGACAATGATTCACTGCGTCTTCCTAGTTCTATGTATATCTTACGACGAGCCGAGACATGTGACTCGGTCGTATCGTTCCAATGTACGTCCCCCTCGTCCCCGACGTACATCAAAAGAGATGATTGAAGACTCGGAAGATTAGATTGAAATCAATTGTTCAATCAGGGGAACTTACGGCAAGTTCTATTAAATGCATTAGTGCGCAGTTGTGCAAATTGAAGCTTGATGGATGCTTTAATCTAACTGTAAAAGTATAACATTTTGAAATGGCCAAGAAATATTTTATTAAGAACAATCCTGATCTTTCGAACTCAATGATATATTATACGTGTGATTTCCCATCAATTTTTTGTATACTTTAATGTGCACTTATGCATCAAATCGAATTTTATGAACAATATAGTATTTCAATGACATATAAAAGAATGAATATGCAAAATTGTCCTGCTATCGCACTCACTGATAGCTTTTTGGTCCGTCTAGATCCGGTTTTCGCTTTTGACATCATTTGGGGATTTCCTAATCTCCCAAATTACAGTAGAAAAAATTATCCTCGCATCCGGTTATTTATCGCACATAACACAATCATTTTTTTATTTTTTTGTTTCAGGAGAAGTATGCTTGCATGTGGCCGCTGTTAATGGACACGTGGACGTGGTGCGACTTCTGTTACGTCACGGCGCCGATCTTAGAACGAAGGAGGGTCTGGCGGGATATACAGCTCTTCATCTCGCAGTGGAGCGCGAGTGTCGGCCGGTGTTTGACTTCCTGCTGCATGAATGTCAGCGCACATCTTGTTTGGATGAGCGGACGTATCGCGGCAGAACAGCCTATCAAATGACTCTGGACATAAACAGCGATTTCGCCAGAGAGGCTCGCAGGGAGCTGGTGCGGTGCGGCGCGACGCCGGAACCGTTGCCGGAGTCAGATTTCGAGAGTAATTCCGATAGCAGCGAGGACGAGGACATGACGAGGTCATCATGGTCGATGGATTACTTACCGGCGATTAAGACGCAAAACGCGGTCGGAGTGACAGTCTAAAATTAGTCTAATCATTGAACATATCCAGACGCTGGAATCGTCGGATTGGAAGAAAACAGGAGAGTACGGGTACTGTATAATGCGCACAAAGACTTATCTCGAATCACATCGATCCATCTACGAATCGCTTTAGTTTATCAGATGAATTAAATAACTACAGTGGATAATATTTGCCAGATAAGATGTATCTTAAGTACTAATGCGTTTGCAAAATTACTCTAATCAGTGAGACAAATTCAGACAAACAAATGTCATGTTAAAGAAGATTAAGTGTTTTTAAATTTGATAAGAATTACATTGATTACAATCTGTAACTTGAATTTTGACGCGCTGGTCGCTCTATGTACTACATGTTAAATCAGATAACTAGAACGAAAACAATGCTGGATAAGAAAATAAATTGCGTGAATGTGTCGATGTATATGATGAATTAATTTGTATCATCGTATATTGTATTGCCCTTAGTCTTCGACGTGCCTGCGACGTCAGCTTAATCTGCTGGATAGATTAAGATTTATAGTAAAAAAATGAAAAGATTAGAGTTAAGTAAATAAACAAAGTTTATAAGATTAGCTTCAATTCGTGTTATATATGACGCGTGATCAGAGATGTATTTTGAGTCTACAAGTATTACTATTATAATACAGTTCTAGACTGTGTACGCTTTTTAAATCGATACTGGCAGCGAGATACGCAAAGAAACGGAGTAACGGAGACATGGAAATTGTAGACTTCAAAAATGAATTTGCATAGCGATCGACGAATATTCGATCGCCCTCGAATGAAGCGACAACACAGGTTGTTCTGTCGTTCGTTTTTCGCTTAACGCTTTGCAAATACGCATGCAGCATCACAAAGTGTACATTGTAAAAGGCTATAAAAATAAGGCATGCAAAGGACAATATACATTTTACATATTGTACATGCAAATATAAGTGTTCTTACAAATGTTAGTCAAAGAATCTGAGTGTAATCATTTTGAAACGTATGATAACGCGAGAATGAAAATACTTTCACTTAGCCAATGCGGTATCTTTTATGATGTAAATAGAGAATGCGTGTCTATCCGCATTCAACAATCATGAATATTCGTAAAGAACGGTGTTGTAGAATATACTTTGATGAATCAGCGCGCGTGTAAAAATAGATTTTCGATTAGAAAAAAGTATATTCTAACATGCAGTTAGCATGATAGCTGTACAACGTATATGCGTTATTAGCATGACGCTTTAAGCTGAGTTAATGGGCCAGACTGCTGTACAATATATATGCATGTACTTACGTCGTAGCAAATAAAAAGATCCAAAATGGTACGATGTTTATCGACGATGAACATTATTAACTGGATCAGTGTTCATTGTAGTAGTAATATAATTGCTTCCATTGATATACAGTAATACGTTTACTGCTTTGTGTATATAGACATCTTCCGTTAGAATCATAAATATATCATTGTCACGGCATATGAATAACACAAACGATAACGATATCATTATTGTTATATTGTATATATATATAAAGGCTATAATTATTTTTAATATAAAACATGTTAAAAATCTAACACTCTTCATTCTTTATTGTTTTTTGTTCCTTTATTCTTCAATAGATGTCTATTTTGAGATTTTTTTTGTATATATTTATAAATCGCTTTTTTCTCTAAGGAAAATGAATAAAAATTAATAATTTATCACTATTTTTAATATTAGATGCTGTTATTGCGCTAAGTTTCTGCTAAAACAAAACGCACACATCTTTAGGCACATCTTTCGACAAAGATATATTTTTCTATCCGTTTTTTTAAAGTATAAATTTTGATACAAGTGCTCTTTATTAAATTTGTGAAACAAATTTGATTTAAGCAGACATTCCAGGAATATTAGATATTTTAGAATAGAAGCCAGAATTAATTTATCAATATTATATGAATTATTCAGTCAGTGTCTTCCTTTTTCAAGAATTTTTGTATTTACAGGCAAAGAATACTAGAAATGACAGGGAAATCCTCTACGTGGGATTATTTAAAAAACGGAGAATCTAAATAACATAGATAATAGATGAGATAGAATTTCTAAAAACAAGAATGAAACGGTGACCCGAGCACATCTGTCGAGGTCGATGACGTAGCTCATGTATGCGCACGAAAGTCCCGCCCGGAGAGGATTTGTCTCTATCTCGACACTGCGGCACTCATCTGCTCAGTTTGTTCCGAGACGCGGGACGATGAGGTTCGTCGATACTCGCACAACCAC